ATCTCTGAATGCCGACGCTCATATAAATAAATAACGTAATTTTAACACACGTAATCATACATCGGAGCTTTAATATTGTTAATAATTGTCTTACTTTACACTACAGTGGACGGAGTGCAGCCTCCGTGGTGAAATACCCATCCATCAGGATTATCAATAACTAGTATAAACATCACATATATCCCTGTCCCTGTCTTCCTCGTGAAATAAATCAACGTTAATCTTACCCGGTAAAAACATGTTCGCTGCTAATCTGACCCACCATCGCCCCAGAATCGTAATGGTTGTTTGGTTCTGAGAAAAGGTGGTTCTATGCCGCTAAAAGTGTTCTATTGTGAGATCTGGTTTGATCTCACAAGTGGTGTTCATTTAGCATTGAGGCTGGAACTGCAGAAGAGAGCTTGTGTATCTTTTAAGGTCCGTGATGGACCAATCAGAAACCAGGAAAAATGTAGGAGGCATTACCAAAGTACTGTGACAGCACATCTGTTGCTACGAGACTCATAAAGAATATTTAACTTATTGTGGAATCTAAATATGATTTTACTGTCATTGCTAATAGGGATGCACCGATGGATCGGCATTTGATCGTAATCGGCCGATAGCGCCCCTATCGGTTTTGATCGGAATTTTCAAAATAGATCAGAGCAAACCGATCAGGTAGGGTTGTCACGGTAACCAGTGTAGCGCTAAACCCCGGCAAAAAAAAAAAAAAGAAAAAAAGTTGACAATAATAATAACCGTCTTGTTTTTAAAAAAAACTATATTATCTTGGTGGGTTTACCGTGGCTGCGGTGTAGGCGCGGTGACCCTTACCAGCCACCGTATCATCGGCTGAAGTTGCCGGCGGCACATGCGCACTTTGTTGTTTACAACAAAACTTTCTTGAAGCTAAAGCTGAAATAATGGTCAAAGGAGGAGACGGCAGCGCTCAGGAGGACATTTATTATCCCTCAAAGAAGACAAAGTGGGAAGTACGGGCATCTTTTGGATATTTGAAGAATGCCGAGGGACAGTTGATAGAAGACGGCTATCCTGTTTGCAGCACGAGCAGAAAAAGTGTCTGTGAAAGGCAGCAACGCTTCAAATCTCATGACACATCTGCGTGACCATCACCCACAACTCTACAGTCAACGCAAGGCAAGTTAACGTTAGCGCTTTAGCTAAAATGCGTGATCCGAGGATTTGGGTTGAGGGAGAACGCAACGAGTCGCTATATAAAGCAGCCGCAGCGCCGCTACCTGCATATAAACCGTGTCGCGGACACCGCCATGTTGAAATGACGCTATGCATTACGGGGCTCCCAGGGGCAGATAAGAGTTGTCTCTCTCCGAGAATAATTATGAATTTAACAACGATTACTGCCTGATGACATTTTCCCACATCTGCAAAGCTCACTGGAAGGACACAAACCGAGGACGATATTTTCCTGATATACGGATTACTCAAGTAAGGGTAAAAAAGTATCTGATTAGAAGGCTACTTGAGTACTGAGTATCATCTGATCTAATATTTTTAAAATGATGACATCAAACAGACATAAAATAAGAAGTTATGGGCAAATATTGGTATTTTAAAGACTGAAGGGGAAAATGTAAACAAATAAACTACTTAATTACAAAATAACACATTTTAGGAAAAATTTAGACACAAACTGAGGACAATATTTTCCTGATATACAGGGTTTATTTAGTTGTGTGAAAATGTAGCATGTTTAAAAAAAAAAACGCGATAATACCAAAAACCGTGGTAATTTTGGTCACAATAACCGTGAGGTTAAATTTTCACACCGTGACAACCCTAACCCCCAAATTCCACTACCTCCGCTCCGCTCCGACACGAACGCCGGAGCAAAATCGGTCCCGTTGTAGTCAATCAGAGCAATTCCACTACTGCGGCCGTGCTCCGGCAGTGCGGCGCCGTGCGCCGCCCTCTGTTCCGGCATCTGGCAAAAATAGAATCGATCCTATTTTCGCCGGACGCCGGAGCACCTCCGCAGTAAATGGACAGAAATCACAACGGCCCAACAGGAAAAGGAGCGAGCACAATTTCCGTTTTTCACAATAAATCGATAAACAAAAGGCGTTTTTTGTTTCATATGCACAGGTTTAACAACTTTTAACAACTATCAATGGCGGCTGAAGTTTAAATGCACAAAAATAAGCCATAAATACAGTTTCTACTATCAAAGTAGTCACCCTTTGTTGATCCAAGCACTGCTGATCTCTCAACACAAATGATGGGCAGATTAAACAGCTCATGCCGATGCTTCTCCCACACAACGGGTGTTTGGATCTAACTTCCGCGTTTATTGCTCGGACTGTATCGCAAGATCTCGAAAATCCCGCGCATGCTTGTTTGCCCCCCTCAGGTCTCCGCACCGGAGCGGAGCCGTTGTAGAGCGGGTACCAGTAAAAATTGAGTTCGGAAGCGAGTGGCTGCGGAAGGCGGGGGCGGACCGGAGCGGAGGTAGTGGAATTTGGGGGTCATACAGACCATTTTAGATTAGGTTACATTTCCTTTATTCCCAGATTATGTAGTTAGTAGCACTCATTATAATGTTGTAGAAAATTTCTGGCCAATGAACGTGATCGGTATCGGTGATTGGTATCGGTGATCAGCATTCTATGATATCGGTATCGGTGATCGGCAGCAAAAAACCTGATCGGTGCATCCCTAATTGCTAATATACTGATATTAAAAAAGTGACATGACTGATAATAAAATCATCATTAACTCATCAAGTAGATTTATTTGGTGCAACAAAGATCCAAGAGAATGCATTTCAACAATAAACAATTATTTTGATTGAATATTACTGTCCAGCAATCGAGTCTTATTAAATCCATTCTAGATAAAACATTAATTGGTCTATGATTGTAATAAATCTGGAAAGTGAAAAAAAAAATCATTGTATATAACAGAATGATTATTTCATTATGGTTAAAAAGTCCCGTCTTCTCTAGGGGACGTCTTGTGAATTGCAGCGCAGATAAAGGAACAGGAGAGCAACTTTGTTATGATGGTTTCCCAGATGGCGAGGTCATAAACAGAGCATGTGTTCTGGTTTAGGAACAAGATGGCGCCGATGTTGCTAGCCTGTTGTCTGCAGCTCTTGCCATGTTTGTCGTTTACTCTGTGTTTGTTTTGTGTCTTTCCGGCATCAAATACTGCTATTACGCATGATTGGAGTGTTCTCTTGGGTCTTAATACTGCTAATGCTAATATTGCGACTCAAAGCTTTTGAGGTTTGGTCTTCTCAACGCCAGGTCTGTGATGAATAAATCTTTTGCCCTGTATTACTTTTTTAGAAATCAGTCTTGACTGATGTCCGTCTTCTGAAATCTGTGGTCCACACTTTCATCACTTCAAGGCTGGATTACTCCAACTCCTGCTTATATGGCATCAGTAAAGCAGCTCTCTCTAGTCTTCAGCTGGTCCAGAATTCAGCAGCTGGGTTGCTGACTGGAGCTGACAGAAGACAACACATTTCTCCAATTCTGAAATCTCTCCACTGGTTGCCCGTGCAGTTCAGGATAAACTTCAAAATTATGCTTCTCGCTTACAAATCCTTGAACCATCAAGCTCCTCCATATCTGTGTGAACTTGTCCATTACTACAACCCGCCGCGTGCTCTCAGGTCTGAAGATAAGCTCCTCCTAGCTGTTCCCAATGCACGTTTAAAAAGCCGTGGAGAGAGGGCTTTCTCTGTCTGTGCACCCAAGCTGTGGAACGCATTACCACTGCTAGTGAGGCTAGCACCAACAGCTAGCATGTTTAAATCACGCCTGAAAACTCACTACTTCAACCTATCGTATACCACATAGTTATGAACCTCACTGACATCTGCACTGTTTAAAAATGGACTTCACAATATCAACTTCCGTATTATTGAGGTTCTTTTTTTAAATGTTTTTCTAATTTTTTATTCTCCCTGTGTTTTATTGATTTTTAGCTGTTAGTTTTGGGAATTTTGTTGTATTTCCTTTTTATCTTTTATCTGTGTTCGACATGTTTGTATAACGCCGGTTTAATTAACCAACATTTTTAGTGTACAGCGCCTTGTTTGGTTGTAATGCCTTGTGAATGCGCTTTATAAATAAAATTGGATTGGATTGGACTTTTTTGGCATTGTGTATTTGGTCCTTTCTTTTGAAATTGCTATCTTGACTGTTGAAACAATCATTCTGATCATTCTGCTGTGATGTTTGAATATACTTTACCTGCAATAGCCAAACAATAGTTTAGCCTCTGGCTATGTCCCTCAGGAACTAAAGCATGCAGTGATGAGACTCCCGCTGAAAACAATCACTGAGAGCTGGAGTTGAATCAAATACATTTAATCATGACATATTGGCAGCCAGCAGCTGCCCTGTAAGTCACCTTTAAGTAAGTTTGTTTTTAATAGATGGTAAAGTGTAGTTACAATGAATTTCTACATACTTCATGCAGTCTGGCTAATACCTTTAAATCTCATCAAAGAGGTAGTCCCACTCCACCATATCGAATGCTGACTCAGCACCTAGGGAAAGTACCACTTCATCGGCCTTTTGGTCGGGCGGAGCAGGTGTGTTCAACACATTAATCAAGTGTCTATTAAACAAAAGGCTTGTGTTATTTGTGGAGATAAAACATCAACATTTAAAAAGAAACAGTCAGTGCAAGAGTCATGTTGGTGTTGGCCAATCTAAGGAGAGATGTCCAAATATCGCAAACCTCTGCTTTGGCTCACTTCTTCCTGAAACTGGAGCGCCAGAGCTGTTGCCCCTCAGAGACTGACTCACAAGGCATTAATTTATAGTAGAGGCCACTGCAGATGTATTTTAAAAAGAGTGAACTTGTTTTTTAAGCTTACTAAATATTCTGAAACATTTCATTGAAATGCTCCAATGCTTTTTCTGATTGGAACACAGCTGGTTTGGGTGGTTTCTCTTGGTTTTGCCTCTTTGGCCACCCGAGCATCTCCAGTAATCCATCTCCGGTACTGTCTCCGTCTGTAGAAGAGCGACCATGGCTGTGAACGTGTACGCGACCTCGGTGACCAGCGAGAACCTGAGCCGTCATGACATGCTGGTGTGGATCAATGAATCTCTTCAGATGAACCTGACGAAGATAGAAATGCTGTGTACAGGTATGTGTGTGTGTGTGTGTGTGTGTGTGTGTGTGTGTGTGTGTGTGTGTGTGTGTGTGTGTGTGTGTGTGTGTGTGTGTGTGTGTGTGTGTGTGTGTGTGTGTGTGTGTGTGTGTGTGTGTGTGTGTGTGTGACCTCATCAGTCAGGAGGTCACACTGAAGTGATGCTTCAGCCTTGTCTTTTGAGTCCTTGCTTCAGGGACAGTTCTACTAGAATTCTATGCTTGACAGTTGGAACGTAACTGTGGTCACGTGACATATTCACACTAAAGGTGTCCTCCTTTAGCTGAAGCGGTTTAGTTGGGGACCTTTATACCAGCTGACCAAATGCTATAAAATTGTCCAAATGTCACTACCGTCCCATGGTAAGATAACATTAACAAAGATGAGTGGGGTGTGCTTTCTTGTGTTTGACCCTGTGCATCTGGATTTACACACACGAATAAAAATGTCACTGAAATAAGGGTTCTACCATTGTCTTTCAAACAATCTCCACTTGCTACTGGACAATGAACAACGTGACGTACTCACTGCAACAAATGCTGGTAAAAGAGGCGGTCCGCTGTTGAAGAAGGCGAAATACATCCTTTTTCTAAATAAAGGACTTAAATACATCTATCTGCTCCTGATTCTAATAAAGCCCAAATCCAAATAGTCCGTAATTGATTTAAAAGCCGTTTCAAACGAGCTGTTGCCATCTTGTTCCACTCTGTTGTGTCATCTCGCCCACCAGACAAATAAATGGCCCTGATTGGCCCACAAAGCAGATAACGCGCTGTGATTGGCTCACCATTATGAACCAATCACAGCTCTCTTATGTGTTTGAAACCCTTATAGAGAGCTGTGATTGGCCAGCCAGGATGCTGCTTGGGGCTGCGGAGGTTCCAATGGAGCGTTCGTAGACCAAACTTTGCAAAGCAAGGATTTGGTCTAGTTCGCTAGGCTAATAACCTGCTGGTACACCTGGGACATGTTAGGCTCAGGTGTGTCACAGGTGCCTTCGTCAGCCTGCCTGCTTATGAGCTGTCTGAGTGAGGGCCACAGTGGACATGGACAGCAGAGTAACCTGTTCATCCTACTAACAGGGTAGCTAAGTTTAGTCACCAGTAGCTGTTGGCCTTTATCAGACGCTCGGTACAGTTAATGTGGTGTAGTTGTGGTGAGACGACTACCAACTGAAACACTGTCTCATCTACTTCCATTTTCCTGTCAGGAAATCTGTCACGGTTAGTGTCTGAGTGGTACTGAGATGGTGCTGCTGTCTAAACTGGTTGGTTTGTGTTGTGTGTGTGATACGTATTTATGATGCTGTGTAGGGGCTGCCTACTGCCAGTTCATGGACATGCTGTTCCCCAACTCGGTGCCTCTGAAGAAAGTCAAGTTTAGTGCCAAGCTGGAGCACGAATACATCCACAACTTCAAAATCCTGCAAGTTGGTTTCAAAAAAATGGGAGTGGATAAAGTAAGTATTCATGACTTTAATCATTAATAAGCTGGCTGATCATTTGACCCCCCCCCCCCCCCCCCCCCCACACACACACACACACACACACACACAGTAACCTGTTTTGCATAGCAATGTCCACAGATAAAAATCACAAGCTGCTTCACAGTTAAGCAGAATAAAATGCTAACAAACATGAGAATAAGACTTGGTAAAATTAGGAAAAGCAAGTAAAAAAAAAACAAGTTTTAAAAAGTTTTTAAACCACACAAAAATAATTAACACAGCAAAGAGAGACAGGAAGAGTGTTCCCCCGCCACGGAGCAACAGCCTTAAGAGAGCCATCTCCGCGGGAGTTAAGGTGGGTTTTTGGTAGAAGATGACCGATATGTTGACCGGCTGATATACTGGGCCGATAAATAAGTCAGGCACCTGTGTGGCCAACAGCCACCACCACTAGACTGTAGAAAGGACCCAAAGGACCCCAACACATCATTTTTTTTTATGTTTAGAGTTTGTTTAATATTTGAAGTTCAACAAATATTAAGAGATTTATGGACTTTTTTAATTTATATTGCACACTGAGTGTTCAGTTGTCTTTCACAATCAATGTGCTGATAAAAAAATATATATATGTATACGGCCTTAATTATCTGCTTCTTATATCGGCCATCGGCAACAAAATTCTTTAAAAATTGGTAACGGCATTGGCCTTAAAAAAAAAACATATCGGTCGGCCTCTAGTTTTTGGGACCACCGGGAACAACTGACCCGATCTGAGGCAACATTTGGGAATGTAGATTTGCAGCAGATCAGTTAAATATGAGGGAGCTTGACCATGTAAGGCTTTGAAGGTTAAGGATGAGATTTTAAAAAGAAATAAAAAATTGACTGGAAGCCCGTGAAGTGAGGCCATGACCGAAGTGATGTGAGATTGTTTATGAGCTCAAATAACAGTCTGCAGCACATTGCACTAGTTGTAAGCATGCTTAAAATCTAGACCAGCTAAAAAACTCCTGGTGTGTGTGTGTGTGTGTGTGTGTGTGTGTGTGTGTGTGTGTGTGTGTGTGTGTGTGTGTGTGTGTGTGTGTGTGTGTGTGTGTGTGTTGTCAGCAGGTGAGATTCCATTGTAAGATAACTGAGGTTGAATCAACATGTGATAATTATGTAGATGACTAACAGACGCAGGGCAGCAGGGGGCACTGCGGGGGGAACAGCCTTCCCCTACAGATTAGGTCTGCTGACAGTCTTTCTGCTTTTAAGTCTCTTTTAAAAACCTACTTTTTACCCTTGCTTTTAATTGATTTTACAGTTAAGTAATTTTAGGGTCTACTGGAAGGCTCCCAGTGTTTTATCATTGTATTACTGCTTGTCTGTGTACAGCACTTTGTGCAGTCTCTGATTGTTGGAAATGTGCTATATAAATAAAATTGACATTGACTACAAGCTGCAATAACAACTCTCTCTCTCTCTTGCTACAGATCATCCCAGTTGACAAACTGGTTAAAGGGAAATTCCAGGACAATTTTGAGTTTGTCCAGTGGTTTAAAAAGTTCTTTGATGCCAACTATGATGGGAAGGAGTACGACCCTGTGGCAGCAAGACAGGGGCAGGATGCCATGGCCATGCCCATTCCTGCCTCATCAGCTCTGAACAAACCCCCCAAGAAGGCCCTCAGTCAAGGTCAGTAATGTGGTTAGTCCAACCAGTTAAGCCACAGAACACGTGTGAGTGGCAGCTAACACACACCTACAGCAAGTCATAGGGTTCTTTAAAGTGGGAGTCAAGGCATGGGTGGCGACTTATTTGATCCACACTTCCTGTTAGAAAAACGCTTCTGAAAGAGGCGTCGCCCGGCGGACCGAGAGAGCGGCGCTGAGGCAGTGATAGACCACACCCCCCTCAACCCCCCCGCATGCGCTGTCGGAGTTCCTCAATCTAAAAACGAGTTGTTAATGAGCGTGCGTGCACTCGCGCGTGCACGCAAGCACACACTCACCGTAGACTTACCCCTCTGGAGAACAGCAGACAGATTCTGCAGCATTGTGGAGGATTTCCTGTTGACCACGATCATTAGATGAAACGGGGAGGAGGGTATTTTTTTCAAGAAGACGAGCGTCTCCGAGCGCCAACGTGTCATATCAGCAGGTGAGTGGCTGAGCCAGGTGGAGGTGCGGCTGCCTCACCTGGAGACCAGCGCAGTACTTTTTTCAGATATGAATGTTGGGTTTTCATGAGCTGTACGCCAAAATCATCAATATTAGAAACAATAAAAGGCTTGAACTACTTCAGTCGTGTGTAATGAATCTAATATATATGAAAGTCTAATGTTTATCAGTACATTACAGATAATAATGAACTTCATCACAATATGCTAATTTTTAGAGAAGGGCCTGTATAATCAATCTATCCTTAGTAAATGGATACGTACCACATGATGTTAAGGTTGTTGTAATCAAACTTTTACTTAAGAAGCCTTCTCTGGATCCAGATGACCCAATGAATTATAGACCAATATCTAACCTTCCATTTTTATCCAACCAACCTGTTTCAGTTGCAACTGTCCCCTTGACTGTCATCCATGATAAAACTTCATGTGCTAGCTAAACAACGAAACATTGATGGATGCTAACCAATGTAGCTAACAGTTCATGCTTCACATATTTAAACCATACATGTTTGAGCTGAATCACAGACATTGTGACAACAATATAACAAAAACAAATCTCGTTAAAAAATATTTTTCATACCTCAAACACGGTTATTTGCCAATAACTCTTGATGAGGCTCTTGAATTTTCCCGCCTTTTCTCTGCATTGAGGGGAATCACACTGAGTCTCCTCAGTCTAGCTTGTTTCTGATTGGAGGAAAATGACATGTTGCAACCAACCTCTTGCTACTGTTCCCGGCCCATGTGTGGATGTGTTCAGGTGCTCAACCCAACGTCGCCCATAAATCATGATTTTGGGCCTCTATAACACATGGCCACGCCCTTCCAAAATGTCTTCAAGAATTTTCTAGTTCTCTGATTGTTGTTGTTCTTCTGGCTGGAAACAAGCTGCTGCTTACTGCGGATGCACACAGACCACACATCGTTGTGGGCACCAGTTAAACCAGACAGGCTGACATTCCTGGTCATCTGTCTTTGATGCCTTGATTCTTGTCTCCTCAGCTCCTCAGAGGCCGCCCGTGGCCAAGGTGGCTCCTAAGTTGGCTCCTGTTAGTGCAAAGAAGCCGGGGATGGGAGGGGCTGATGAGGAGAGGGTGGAGCTCCTGAATGAGGTCAGAATATTACTGCTGAAATTATTTATAATAGGAAAACACGACTCTTCAACAATGATACGGGCCTTCTCCAACAGATTGAGATTCTGAAATCCACCATCCAGGACATGGAGAAGGAAAGAGACTTTTATTTTGGTAAGTTGAGGAACATCGAGCTAATTTGCCAGGAGAAGGAAGGAGAGGGCGACCCTACGCTGCAGAGGATTATAGACATCCTCTACGCCACAGATGTAAGTTTTTTGGGCTCTTAACCCTAAACACTTAATCTGCACTAATCTGAGGCCAAACTGACCAAAGTGTGAATACGCCATGTGTGTCTGAAGAGGTCAGAGAGGAGATGTGGCCTCTGCATAGAGGGGGCTGTGTGTGAGAGTGATTCTCTCCCTGCGGTTTTGTCTCCAGGAGGGTTTTGTGATACCAGACGCTGAAGAGCAGGAGGAGTTTTAATGGACGATTACAATCCTCCCATGTGACCTCGTTCTTGGAGCTGAGACGGTTTTGTGTTCTGTAGCGAGTCCAGCCTCAAGCCTTCATCACTGCCCCTCACCCCCACCCAGTCTCCTGAGTCCGGCCCAGCACTGCTGTGTCCCCGTTCTTCCAAAGACCAGACATGCAGTACACCTCTGGTCTTTAGTAATGAACTTGTGTGTGCGTGCGTGTGCGCGCGCATGCACGTGTGCGTGATGTGCGTGCGTGCGTGAACTAGTGTACCAGAATAAAGCACCTCCTCCAGCAACTCGGCTGATGTTTGTTCCACCCTAAGCCCAGCGCAGCAGTGTCCTGGGCCCTCATTTATCAAGCCTTCGTAGAGACGCTGCGATATTCCTTCTATGAATGAAATCTAGAAAGTTCGTTCGAACGGTCGAAAACCTGATTCATGAAGCATGCGGTGGCCTCTCGTACGCACGTTCCTCCGCACTTGACTGTTGGTAAATCCCACCTGCGAGTACCCCGGTGCTCGTGCCCGTTCAGTCATTTACCTATAGAAACGCCTTCCATTAACCATATTTGGTCATGCTACATCCTCAGTACGCGAGGGTATTCCCAGGTTTTTCCTGAGAAAAAAAAACTGGATGATTGAGGCGCTGGCTGCTGAAGTGCAGAAGAACCAACAAGTTTCAGAAGTTATAAACATGGTTGCGACAGAGGAGAGGTTCCCGTCAGGAAAAAAAGGTCCCACATAATAGAGCAACGGGTTATTTACGTTTATGGAGTCATCCTGGTTGGAGTTGGTTTTATTTGGAAATGCAGTCTGAGAGTGCTGCCTGTTTAAAGCTGTCATTCAGTCTAGTTACCATGACAACACGTGTGATCGAGGAGCAGAGGAGGTTCTGGACTGAGCTTTGTCTGTCGCTCAACAAAGAATCCCAAATCACAGCATAGCTCCAGAAGGATCTTCTTCAGGAGTCAGATCAGTGCGCTCACAGAGGGCCCGGTCCCACTGGAACAGGGGTGGGTCCAAGGGGGGAGCCTGGGGAACATGGGCCACCCCTTGTGGCCCCCCAAAGTTAAGATCATGAAACATCTGTATCATATAAACAATCAAATAACATAATCTTAAACATAAGCAACCAAATATCAAATTTAACCCTCCCACTGTCTTTATGGGGGACCCCGCGAGGAAAGTTGACCATTGAGCAGAGTTGATGGTTTATCTCTTGGGTCCACGTGGCAGGGGTGAGGAGTGAGCACCACCTCACCCCTGCCTTGTGGACCTCGAGGGATAAACCGTCCATCCTGCTCAATGGTCAACTTTCCTCGTGGGGTCACCCTTCAGGACAGTGGGAGGGTTAAGATGACCTTCTCTAGTGAAACTCAAATGTCTGATTGTAAGTGAATGCAGCAGAGCACTACAAGCAGAGGTCTCCATCCTCGTTGGTCCAGGATAGAGAGGCGATGAGAGGACAATAAACATCTCAATAATTCAAATGAAATTTAAGTAAACTGAAGTAAAATCAGGATGTTACAGAACATGTAACCCTGAAATAATTATTTCTGCCTACCAGTACCGTCGAACTGGTGCAGCTAGCAAGAGACTTGGTGAATACTTCAGTGTTAACATGCCAGCCTGACCAAATTTTATCTCTAGAATATTGTGGATAATATGGTAGTTTTTATTTTTGTCTGTTTTCACTATAATCAGCCTACAGCAGTGCCAACAATAACCCCCAAAACCCCTCTATTTATCCCTCCCTCCCACACACACACACACACACACACACACACACACACGGACAAAATATGTTCCAAAAATTCAACCCAGATCCAAAATGACCAGACATACCTAAGTCCGAATCCAGCCTGGATGCAGAGCTCACGCAATGAGCAACACACACAGTTTTCTGACTTCACACACACAAACACACACACACACACACACACACACACACACATGAAGTTCTGAGTCGGGCTTGGACAGGCTTCTGAAATCAGACACCATGAAAGTGTGGTGCAAAGCATGAAAACCCAGAAAACGACCGTGTGTGTGATGTCTGGCGAGCTGGGCTCAGGCTGTCGGGTCATTTTGGATTCGGGTTGAATTTCTGGGCTTGAGAGCTCAACAGAGAGAGCCTGGCTGCAGCTGCGTCTGAGCGGCAGCTGTCAGAGGAGAGGAGTAGAACTCCGAATGAGAAAACACAGAAATAAAAACGTGTGTAACTTGCTGTCTGAGCCTGTAGAGGTTCTATAAACTTAATTATTCTGTTTCATGACCCACATTGGTGTTAAACTGATGTTAAATTCAACTTAGCTCAGTAGACAGAGCGGGTTGTCAAGTAATCGGAAGGTTGTAGGTTCAGTCCCGGCTCCCGCCAGAGAATGCTGCTGTTGTGTCCTTGGGCAACACACTTAACCTGGCTTTGCCCGCTGCTGGTGGCAGTCGGAGGGAGCGATGGTGCCTGTGTTCAGCAGCGTTGCTTCCGTCAGCTTGCCCCAGGGCAGCTGCGGCTACATTGTAGCTCATCCACACCAGCGTGTGAATGACAGCTGTAAAGCGCCTTGAGGGGCTGTCGAACCCTAACGCCTAATTTATACTTATGCGTCGGGACGGACGCACGCAATGCAGTTGTCCGTCCTTGCAAGCGCCCTACAGCAGGCTCGCAAGGATGGGCGGAGTCAAACTCTTTCTAAACATCCATCCAACGAGACGGAAGACACAAGCTTGTGGTTGGTCAGGATGTCGCTGTCGTTGACGGCGCTGCCATTGCGTCCTCAACATAAAGAGAGCCGAAGATATCTAGCAGCAGATACGGAGCAGCTTGAAGACTACGTCGTGGAAAAACTCTAAAAATATGAACGTTTTATTCACCCATGACTGGAAGAGTAAGAAATATGCAGCAAGCATTTTATTGGTGGGCGGAAATGAAGGGAAACGTGGGTTAAGAGGTGGCGAGCGCATGAAGAGGTGGAGGACAATGAGGGACAAATTTGTTAAAAAGTGTGAAATACAAACGGAAAACCCAATATAAACACAACCGGATACCCCAGAACAGCACGACACCGTTGTCCTGGCAAAGAATTGCTTTGCAACACTCCCAAGAGACGGAGAAGTCGGAGAGCAACACGTCTCTGCCCGTGCGTGCCGCTCCTCGTGGAGCTTATAAGAAGATAAATTAGGCTTAAGACCGCGTTATACAAATAAAGGCCATTTACCTTTTTAAAGAAAATTTGGGAGGAAGCGTTGGTTAATGTTGAGCTACAGTAGATGGTCTTCTTGTTGCAATGTCTGCTCCTCCCCAGAGACGAGGGATAGTAAAAGTTAAAATGTTCCCACAGGACAGGTTATTGGAAGGGTTGTAGGTAACTGGTTAGTTAAGCAGGTCCAACAGTTTGGTGAACTATCGTTAAATCCTAATTCAGCCCACCTGCTGGTATCATTACCAACAATATTTAGCCTTTAAATTGCACTTCTTTCAGCTGGTATTTGAAAAATAATTCTTGCCAGTTATGGGTGCCCCAGGTTCATTGTTGGTCCCCCTTGTGCCCCCTCCAGAAAATACTGTGGACCCGCCCCTGAAACGGAGTGCATATCCTCTAATAACACAGGGTCAGCCATTGTCAGATTCCCGCCGGTCACAGGTGTCTTTTATAGAGCCCGTTATCTGACGCAGCACTTTTTCCCTCCGACATAATTATTTACTGGGTAAAATAATTTGTGGATGACAAACGTGTGGACGACTGGAGAGCTTCAGCTTTGTGGATCACGGTCTAAGACTTTTTCATATTTAGGACCATTTTCACACACGAGTACAAAATAATGAATACCACACAATGCTTATATTCATTCCTACACATTAAATACACACAGATTTGTGCGTAAGGAAGGTTGATAAATGAGGGCCCTGTAGTCCGATGGTGCCGCAGCCACTCTGTGCCTTTCCTGTTCACTATGGATCGGTTCCTGAGGAACGTGGACGTGTACACGTGAGAAAAAGCAAACATCCTAAAGTGAGGTTGTGTTTAGTCTGGGACAAGCAGCAGCCATCTTCTTCCCTGTTTTTCTTTACAAAAAGATGTTTTTATTTTTAGCTGATGAAGCCTTCGACCTGTGCAGAGACCCAGGGTTATGATGGGATGGAACCCCATGTTCACATTTCACTCTGGATAATTTGTGATTCCAGATAAGATGGCCTTCTGTAGAAGTGAATGTGAGGTTAGCTGTTAGCTTTCTGACCACCATTATGTTAAAGTGCTAAAGCCTAATGCTGACCCACAGGGTTAGTCTCTGTGTTTCAACTCTGGCTCACACCGCTAAGCCCTTAAGCTGATCTGAGACCAGCCACATGATGAGCACTGTGATGGAAACATCATAGCTGCTGTATCCACTAAGCCTCTGACGGGACCTGTCTTGATCAGCTGGGCTATCATCTGTTATGAAACGGTGTCAGTGGTACAGCAGCCATGACGGCTCCCTCCAAGCTATCAGAAAACATTCCTGCTGAATCGTCTTTGACCCTCATTTCAGATTGGCTTCACTTTTCCAACATGTTTATCTTTTTTTCTGGTCGAGTTTGTTTAAATAAGGTAGTGGAGCTTTAATTTGTGGAGTCTGGTCTTCTGAGCCTTCTAGTTCTTGGATGTTGTAGCAGCAGAAAGAGCTTCTGCAACAAAGACTCCTTAAAAGGTAAACTCTTATTAATTTGTTATGCGTGTCCTGTTGTTTTTGGACCATCCAATAAATGTTCAAACCTGCAACCTGCTGGAGATCTCATCCTTTAGTCCAGACTGGACCAGTGGAAGATGAATTTGCTATTGCCGTGTGTGTGTAGCATTAATCGTGTTATAAATCAAGTCTGCAGCTGTAGCTACAGAAGTCCAACGGCTAATTTAGCTTGACATCTTTCCTGACTGAGGCAGATTCTTGGCTGGAAGCAGGTAGATGCTGACTCAGCGGTTTGGAAGCCTTCTCCTGGTTCCCATGATGCTTAAATCGGAGCGACTGCAGCAGCTGAACTGGTGAATGGCCCAGCCAGTGGTTCTGGTCTACCTCTGACCTTTCTGCTCTCAACAATCTCTCTGGCCACCTGATGTTTACACCTCTCTGCTGAACTTGATTTTCCTAAATCTTGTTTAAAATATATTTTGTCAAAGGCTCCTGTCTTGTTTTATTATGGGATGTAATTGTTAAGTCTGTATGATAAATCCATTAAATCACACGGGATGTAGCCAGAATCCTTTATTCATGTTTGTTAAAACCCAGAAAATAAAATCTTAAACTTTAACACAAACGACTGATGTGAACAGAACTTTTGGTCCAGAAGCGAAGTTGTGAAACGAGAACGGTGGAGGCTGCTCATTTCTGGCCCCGGGGCTGGGTGGGGCTGTGGGTGGAGTGAGCTTCTCGGTACTGTTGGGTCCAGCTCTGAGGTTGTTGCTCATAAAGCTGAAACAAAACACCAAACCATCATTACGTGTTTGTAGTTGGTGAGCAGAACAATTCTGCTGCTGCTGCCGAACAAACACACCTGACCCATAAACTCCAGGATTTTGGCTTTGGACACCTCCACGTCTGCACGGGGACCCCAGCGGATCTCATACTCCAGTGGTTCTGTGTGGGGGATCCGGACGTACTCCAGGTACCTACAGATAAACGGGTGAAAAACATTGGATTTACCTCATGAACATTCAGCACATGCTAGATTTATTATAGAAATACTACATAATTTATTAGTAAATAATGATTTTTTCCATAAATAATCCATGTTGCTGCTGCTGTCTGAAGAGGGAGGGCTGACCACCCCCTGCTGTGTAGGACCAGTGACCTCCACCCTTCAGTTGCTCTGTGGTGTGGTATAAACCAGTGTCTATGGTCTAGCAGACACTGGCTCTGAACACACCAGTGCAGTGAGGAAAGATACTTTAACCTTTGCCCCGATGACCGACCACGTCAGACATCAGTCCATGTGTGATCTAGTGAAGACCAGGGGGTGTACCACGTAGCGAGCTAATCCCAAAATCCACGCTTCCCTAGCTTGAAGCCCCTCCCAGTCAGCATGGGAACACGCCGCAGAACAAACTTGCTCCTTGGCAGGTTTCCAACTAGGCTTGCTGAAGATTGGTGAATATGATTGGACGAGGCATGTTACGTCACTTTTGTCTAGTCGGTGGCTGAATCCACCTGAGCATTGCTCATGGAACTGACAAATCCTAGTCCTATGAGAGGGATTTATCAGGAAAGACTTGATTTTTTTAAACTCGCTTTGTGGTATTCCCCCAGGTACAGTAGTTGTCTCATTCATCATCATGTGTTATCATATAGGTGTTTATGATGAATGCCGTCTGGCAACACAACCTGTCCTCTGATGTTTGGTCATGTGGTCTCCAGGCTTTCCCGATGAGTTCAGGTACCATGGTAAAAGCAAACAGCTGAATGTAGCAAAAATGTATGACCGAAGATCGGAGTAGTTACCATCATTTAATAATTCAGGAAACTGATGTCGGTATAAAGTTAATATGAAGACAAATGTGACAACCTGGTATTGGACATGTTTGATTTTAAGGAGACGACAAGCCTGGCTGGAGGCCAGAAGATGATCGCTATGAAGGAAGTTGAGTTAATCACCCCTGATGGTCTGGGAAATCCAACTCACCAGCACAGTACTGACTAACTGCGCTGAACACTGACTCAAAGGTGAGAGGTACAGGGACTCCCAGCATTCCCCAGAGCCCATCCATGTTTGGTGAGGGGAAAATGTCAGGTTAAAGCTAAGAATTCTTTAGTACTCGCAGCTGCATAAAGTCCACCGGCTGCACAGCATCTATGGCGCTTACACATTAGTGTCGGTTCGGACCAAAATGTAGTTTCAGTCACGAGTCAGAATTACGTTTTTGGTTCAGAGGCAACTCTTTTTTTTTCAGACCTCCTCCCCAGAGGTCAGACTGGAACCGAGGTGACACTACGAACTAATTGGCCGGCTGAAATTACACCTACAGCCTCCGATCAACGAGTAGAATGAGCCAGGGTGTGGGGGGATAATGAGGACACACGCAGCAAATTATTTAAATAATGTGGTTCAGCCCCTCCCTGGCTGTCACCTTACCGTGGTGGAGGGGTTTGATTGTCCCAATGATCCTAGGAGCAAAGTTGTCTGAGGCTTTATGCCTCTGGTAGGGTCACCCATGGCAAACAGGTCCTAGGTGAGGGCTCAGACAAAGAGCAGACCAGAGACCTCTTATGATGAATAAAATAAATGGACACAATCTTTCCTCGCCCTGACGCGGGTCACCGGGCCCTCCCTCTGAAGCCAGGCCTGGAGGTGAAGCACGCCGGTGAGCGCCTGGTGGCCGGGCTTTCACCCATAGAGCCCGACCAGCCACAGCCCGAAGAGGAAACGTGGATCCCCCTTTCCATTGGTTCACCACTTGTGGGAAGGGCCAAAGGGGTCGGATGCAATGTGTGATGGGTGGTAGCCGAAGGTGGGGACCTTGGCGGTCTAATCCTCAGCTACAGGATCTGCCTATCGGTACATGAAATGTCACCTCCCTGGTGGGGAAGGAGCCTGAGTTGGTGTGTGAGGCTGTGGTCAGTTGGGATGCAGTCAAGCTGAAGAATGAGGTTAATGAGGTTGTCAAGAAGCTCGTCAATGGCAAGGCCCCGGGGGTGGATGAGATCCGACCAGAGCTTCTTAAGGCTCTAGATGTTGTAGGGTTGTGTTGACTGACACAATATCTGCAATATCGCATGGGCATCGAGGGCAGTTCCACTAGATTGGCAGACCAGGTAGGTGGGCCCTCTATTTAAAAACGGGGACCGCAGAGTGTATCTCAACTACGGGGATCGCACTTCTGAGCCTCCCTGATGAAGTCCATTCAGGGGTTCTGGAGGAGAGGGTCCGGCGGATTGTTGAACCTCAAATTCAAGAGGAGTAGTGTGGTTTTTGTCCTCGCCGTGGAACACTGGACCAGCTCTATACCCTTAGGCGGATCCTGGAGGGTGCGTGGGAATTTGCCCAACCAGTCTACCTCTGTTTTGTGGATTTGGAGAAGGTGTTTGACCGCGTTCCTCGGAGGGGCCCTGTGGGGGGGTACTTTGGGGTACCAGGCCCTCTGACATGGGCTGTTAGGTCCCTGTATGACCGGTGTCAGAGCTTGGTCTGCATTGCCGGCAGTAAGTTGAGCTAGTTTCCAGTGAGTGTTGGACTCTGCCAAGGCTGCCCTTTGTCACCGATTCTGTTCATAACTTTTATGGACAGGATTTCTAGGTGCAGCAAAGGTGTGGAGGAGATCTGTTTTGGTGGCCTGAGGATTGAGTCTTTGCTTTTTGCTGATGATGTGGTCCTGTTGGCTTCATCAGAATGTGATCTCCGGCTCTCATTGGAGCGGTTTGCAGCCGAGTGTGAAGCAGCTGGGATGAGAATCAACTCTTCTAAATCCAAGACCACTGTCTTGAGTCGGAAAAGGGTAGAATGCCTTCTCCAGGTCAGGAAGGAGGTCCTGCCCCAAGAAGACAAGTTTAAGTATCTCGGGGTCTCGTTCACGAGTGAGGGAAAGATAAAGTGTGAGGTAAACAAGTGGATTGGTGCTGCTTCTGCAGTTGTACTGATCTGTCGTGGTGAAGCTGAGCCAGAAGGCAAAGATCTCGATTTACCTTTCGATCTACGTTCCTACCCACACCTACAGTCACAAGCTTTGGGTAGTGACTGAAAGAATGAGATTGCGGGTACAAGTGTGGCTGGGCTCTACCTTAGAGAAAGGGTGAGAAGTTTGGTCTTCTGGGAAGGGCTCGGAGTAGACCCGCTGCTCCACCACATCGAGAGGAGCCAGTTGATGTGGCTCGGGCATCTGATAAGGATGCCTCCTGGACGCCTTCCTGGTGGGGTTTTCTGGGCACGTTCAACTGGGAGAAGGCCTAAAGGAAGACCACGCTGGAGAGACTATGTCTCGTGGCTTAAGATTTCCCTGGAGGAGCTGGTACAAGTGGCTGGGGAGAGGGAAGTCTGGGCCTCCTGCTTAGGCTACTGCCCCTGCGACCCCACCCTGGATAAGAGGCCAAAACTGGATGGATGGTTCAATCTCCAAATGCAACACAGCTCATGCCCGCCTGGGATTTCTGCATTTCTGAGAAGTCCCTCGAATTTATAAGTGAACACTACACCGCCCGTTCGAGACCGAACTCACACCATCCAAACCCACACTGTGCCAGCGCTAATGTGTAAGGGCCACTAGTGTCCACCAGTGTGCACCAGCTCCCCAAAACCTAGTGTGCACCACTTTGGACCTGCATCAAAGCATTTCCTATTAAAAAAATAACCACTTACTTTTGTCGCACAAACTCTTCAGTAACAAGTTTCTTCACATCCCCAAACTCTTCATGCTTCTGCCTGAAAAAGTGGTGGTGAATGTCCCAGAGGGCAAACAGGACAAAGTCATGACAACTGGTTGTTAAAAACAATCTATCGCTGCTGAGAGACGGTCCTCACCCAGGATCAACACGTAGTTTCCTTAGTGTGTTCCAGATAAGGGCTGCAAACAACAAACACCATTTTACCACATAACTATGAACTCAAAGCACCTCGTTTATATACACTACCAGTCAAAAGTTTTAGAATGCCCCAAAATTTCCGTTTTTTTTAATTGGAAATGATGCTGTTTAATGTCACATTGTACTCCAGAAAAGTTGGAACACTTGTGGGAATTAGTAGCACCAGCTTTCATGGCTTGATCAACCTCTATTGCTGCAGAACAGCTGTGTTCCTTGAAGAAGGCCTTTCTGTATAATTCTCATGTTTTCAGTTTTGAGTAACCTTACCTTTAACCTCTGGCAGTTCACCACTTAACATAGTACTATTTCAAGCTATTCATTGGACTTGAACGACTTAAACTGCAATAAATAACTGGAAAAAATGGGGCGAGCTAAAACTTTTGACTGGTAGTGTCAGTGTAAAAACAATAAAGGTGATTACGTTTAATAAAACTCACTTTCTCTGACGCCACTTCCTCTCATGCCTCCTTTCATGAAAATAACACTCAAGATCACAAAGAGCAAACCCATCTTTGGATTGGTGGGGCATCTGCAGGCAGACAGGCGCACACACACACACACACACACACACACACACACACACACACACACACACGCACACATTAAACCTATCCTAAATGAATGACCCTCTGGTCTACAACACTCACACGAGCGGCGCAGCGGTTGGTGCAGGCTCATCCAGGTTATTGACCAGTATGTACAGGTGATTTTTGGGATCAATTTCTAGCAGCTTTAAGCCAAACACCTAGATGAACAGAAATGACATCATTTAGCAGAATCATCCCAGATTGTAAGCGGATGACTTCCAGCTACTCTCTGACCGAACAGACCTGTTCAAACGTTGTTGATGCCCTCTTTATGATCTCAGCGTAGACGTTTCTGTATTCCTTCACGACATGTTTCACAAGATCTAAAATTACAAACAGGAGTTAAATGACCCAGTCTAAACAGTCCACATTCATATCGCATTTAAACAGAAATCAAGGCAAGGCAGTGGTTGCTGAAAACAGGGCAATGGTGGCAGAAGGGCCTTACTGAGCAGAAAAGCTACAGCTAGCTGTGGGCCTAACCTAAACCCGACTGTCTCACCTAACATTTACGTTATTTAATCACCTTGTAAGAACAGCTTTTATTGCTCTTAAACAACAGCTCAACTTTTATGGTTGTTGTAGTGGTGACTGTTTCGCTGTCGTACCTGCTCGGCGCACAGGGATCTTCTTCTGGTCTTTCATTAAAATGTACTGCACCACCTCAGCCGTCTGCATCACAGGAACCACACCATCTATACAGGTCCTAATGAGTCTTTTTAGACTCCAGCTGCAGACTTTTACTCATGAAGGTCTGCTACCTTTTGGTCGACTTGCGTAGGAGTGAGTTTCTCCAGCCCCCGCTGGACCTGAGACACACTCGGCTGAGTGAAACTTCCATCTTCATCCTCCTCCTGACTCCTGAGGCTGCTGGAATGTCGCTACGTAAAGAGATTTGATAAAACCAAATAACTGCCAATGTCAACACACACACACACACACACACACACACACGCGCGCGCGCACGCACACACACACACAGTTTACACTAACCCAGGGTGTGACCTGGATAAGCGTTGGGCCCTAACCCCCTCCAGCAACGTTTAGTAGTGTCTCTGCTCCACCACACCTGATTCACTGGTCGATTCAAATGTTCAACAGCTCATCAAGCTATGCAAAATCCTGTGGATCACCTGCTGATTGAAACCAGGTGTGTTGTAGCAGAGAAACAACTAAAACCTGCAGGATGGTGGCGCTGAAAGACCAGAGTTGAAGAGCGCTGCTGAAACGCCAGTGAGCTGTAGAAATTGTGACATCACTGAGAAGGTGTGGATCAGGGGTGCCCGATGCTAGTCCTGGAGGGTCGGTATCTAGCATGTTCTATATCATATATCTCTGCCACATAAGCGTCACTGATTGGTTAATATCTCATATTACCGTCCATACATTGAAGAGCTTTTAGCGTACTCCCGCCTACTAGGTGGGTCCCAACCCTATAAAGAGGCCGTGAACCATAGATGGTCTTCTTTTCTCTTCAAAATCTCTAAAAAGAGCTACCATTTTAAATCACTCCCCTCAACTCGTCCAGCAACGCTGTTCATCTGTGCCCCCTGTGTACCACGAGGTTCATTATGCTTGTCATCATCTCCTTTCGCATTTGTGACCGAAAACCCACCCTTTCACAGACCGCCCCCCATGGGTTGCTCTCGGTTTACAGGCAGGAAAAGCGACAGCAATAAGGGCTTGAGTATGACATGAGCGCGCAATGTACTCAATCTCCTTACAAGCGCCCTAGAAGGGTCACTTGTTTGCCACATGAACAAATGAATTCACAACACCATGCATCAAAGTCACAAACTCCAGTTTCCGTCCCATCCACCCCCGTTATCGGGGATTGTCAAAAGGAGACCGACGTCAGCAGATTGATCCCATGCCGCCTGCATGGAACTAAAGAAACTCGTGTAAAAGGAGTGCATCTCCAGCGTTCCACCGGGCGAGGAAAACACTGGCTTCTATTCTCGCTACTTCCTAGTTCAGAGAAAGACCGGAGTCAGACTCATCCTCGAGCTTTCCCAATTTAATTTGTTCATAGTTGTGAAGCATTTCCGAATGCTAACCATAAAACAAGCTCTGACTTACATGGGCCCAGGCAATTGGTTCACCTCCATCAACCTGAGAGATGCATTTTCTCGTGTTCCAGTAATCCAAAAACTCAGGAAGTTCCTGTTTCTCCTTCGACGGAGTCCAGTACCAATACAACGGACTCCCGTTCAGTTCCCCCCAGTTCCCCTAGCTTTTGCAATGGGTCAGGCTGGACCAACCATCAGGCACCCTGGTGTTCAGACCTGCAGTTGCTGCTGTGGAGGGAAGATTCTCTCCTTCAGGCAAACGGAGCAATCATACACCTTCCGATCGTGGGTCAACACCTATGGGTCTGGCCACTGAGCGTTGAGGTTTAGTGACGTATGGCCTTTCACCGGTAGTGATTCGGACCAGGGGTGGAAATTAGCACCCGCCACAGGCCATGTGCGGGTGAATTCATGACGTGGCGGGTTAATCGGCACAACGCACATGCCACAGTCTCAAATATGAAGATGACGTAGCGTTGTTCATACAGCTGACCTGACGTGTTGCCGTTAGTCTGCCATTCTCATTAAAGAACTGAACAGCAACGTTAGCAGCGTAGCTTTACATTTCTGCTGATCAGCGGGTGGCAGAAAACAAAAATGATTCTCAAGAGGAGTCAAAGAATGAACCGAACATTAAACTGTGGTTTTAATGAGAAACGGAAGAGAGCCGACAACGACGAGTTACGCAAGTGACTCGGTCTGAACAAAAAGCTGAAAGAGCCGTTTCACCACCTCTCTTAAGTTTTGGTGACGACCCACAGAACAAACCTGACCCTTTGTTTCAATGTGAGGATAGTTTTAATAATAATAAGAGCTGGACAAAAAAATTAAAAAAATGAATCAACTGTAATGCTCCTGACAAGAGAATTACACTTTTATTTAGGATTATACAGCTATATCAGTTTATCTCTTATTAGTTGAAAGCAAGTTAAATAAGCGGCTCACTTAGAGATGAACTGTTAAAGCTTATCTAATGAAATCAGTCACCATGCTTCAGGTTGTGAGTGATGTGTTTAAAGACCCCGTGTGTGAAATCCGTTGAAATCATGATGAAAAAATGTGACTCTTTAGCGCCACGCAGTTCAGAGAAAGTATTGCAAGTGGCTCACTCATGAAAAGCCTAAAATGCTGTATAATTAATGAGCATCAGACCCACGTGACCACAGAGCTAGCTCCGTGGAAAGGCCTCAGTAGAGTCTCGGTCTGGCCTGGAAACTGTTCCGCCATTTTCAGTCTCTCAACTTAGACCATTAGTTGTAGCGTTTGTGCGTTGTTTTTGGATATTTTTTGTGCAATTGTTGGACAAAATGACTTGCTGTGGCATTAATTGCACTAATAGAGCATCCAAGGAGTCTCCACTTCATTTTTTTCGGTAAGTAAAATTATATTTATGTATTTTAGGTCACTGCCGAGCTGAGCTTAGATTTTAACATGTACTGTTTAACCATGACATTTAAATGTAATAGGGTAAAACCCAGTGCATTTAACATAATGCTGCTCTTTAGAAAATGGGTTGAAATATAACATGTTGGTGGAGCTGGGTTCCCACTATCGGCTTGTGGAGCTCTCGGGAGACCGATGTTTTCCACCCGTTCTCGCCTCCCCGCAGCTCGGCGCATCTCTGTCTGCTGCGCGGGCTGACGGCTTGTGGAGCTCTGGGATGGAAACCTTTCCACCCGGTTCTCCCCAGCAGCAGCTCTGCGCATCTCAGATCGCAGCGGCGCTTGTCTGCTGTGCGGCTGCCGGCTTGTGGAGCTCTCGGAGACCTCTGTGTTCCACCCGGTTCTCCCCAGCGGTCAGCCAGGCGTATCTCTGACTCAGAAGCTCTGGTGTTGTGCACATTTAACTCCGGTTGTAGCTAGGTTGCTACCTCTGTTAGCTTAGCTCCCACCTCCGCATTAGCTTTGGGTTAGCTTGTAGCTAGTTCGACCGGGTGTCGTCAGTCGATCCCAGTCTTACAGCCCCACCCTCAGCTCCGCCTCTTTTCCCTTTTGTGGAATTGTCTGGGCTTGACGGAACCTGTGACACGGTCAAAATGGCGGTGGTGGCCACCTCCCATTTTAGTACAAAATCATATTATTGGAGCCTATGGAAACCCATTGTCCTGTATCTGTATGTCGATGACTGTAACCCCAGATTCTGAGTATAGCAAAGCCCCATAAGCATCTGGGCCCCACTGGTTCAGTGGAGACGAGTTCACCCTTTATAGGGTGGGGACCCACCTAGAAGGCGGGCGTAGCTAAAAGCTCTTCAATGTGTGGGCGGTAATATGAGATATTAGCCAATAAGCAAAGTTTATGGGGATTTATTATACTCGTAGAATCTGGGATTACAGTACGGAACCAACGTTTTAGTGGTTTCTCTGCTCCAACACTCCTGAATCACCTGTGCAGCAGCTCACGAGGCTCTGCGGATTAAGCACCTGCTGATTTAAATCGGGTGTTGAAACACGGTTAAAACTTTAACAGGCTGGAAACCGGTCCTCCGGGATTAGGACTGGGCACCCCTGGTGTGGGTAGATGGCTGCTCATCTCTATTATGTACTTGTAAATCAAATGAGAACAGCAGGAAACACTAGCTGCAAGAGCGCGTGCACACACTTACTTTACTCTGGGAGCCTTGAGAGGCGGACAGCCGTTTTCTTTGCGCCATGAAAACGACTCACCGTCTGACAACAGAAACCAAGTAAACGGCTTCAGAAGCAAACATTGCAAAGAGCTAAGCTAAGTGAGACGTCAGCTGATTAACGGCTGCAATTTACGTTACATCATAAGTCGAATGGGATATCTAAGAACCAATTAGGATAAAATCCTTACTCTGTTATAAAAGGATTCCCGTGAATCGTGTGTTGCCTACGATCAGTAAATATGAAATTGCCGCGCACATTGATGACGCAAAATATGTGCGCGAGCGCGTTGGAGCCGCCACAGGCCAAGAGGCGGGACCATACGGGCGGGACGGCGTCGGGCCAGATAATGTTGGCTGTCAGACTCAAACCATATTTGGAAAATGCAACACTTACGTCCCTGAACTGAGGGGGGCGCTGTCAGCTCAGGTGTCAGACTGACTTTGAACGTCTTAATGACACCCTAAAGATTAACTGGTTAAAATTTTGGTTAAATCACCCAGACGTCTTTTGGTAGAGTATCCCCAATTACATCTTTAACAAAATTGGTGGCTTAAAAATTCTTCTCCTAACTGACTACAATATAAACAAACTCCCCATTAAACTTTCAGAGTTCCACAAACAAATTTTATTGTATTGGAAAATGATATATGCACATAACTGCTCACCACACTCTATAATCATTTGGAACAATGAATTTATATTGCACCAAAACAAATCACTATTCCATAAAGATTGGTTAGATAACAACATATGGTCTATTATACACTTAATGGATGTAGATGGTCAGCTCTTGAATTATGACAATTTCTGCAGAAGATACAATTTTAAGGCTTCTGAGCTTGACTTTAACAGGTTACATAATGCACTTCCAAAACCATTTATCATCCAAGCCCGAGAATATCTAAAACATCAAAGTTCTATTCCAACCCTTCCTATCTTATCTATTAAAGGTCTCCTGTTAACTGACAGAAAATGCAACAATCTTACAATAAGATCAGCCTTAAATGAATCTCTTTTTCCTGGAAAAACAAACAAAAATAACATAATTTACACATTTGACAAAACATCTGTTGAGAAAATAATAACTACCTAAAATTACCTATACCACTGAAAGCTAAAGAAACCCACTTTAAAATAATGAATGCAATCTATCCTTCAAAAGAGTTGTTAAGAGCTCGTTTTAATATTGACAGCAACAACTACTCTTTTTGCAAAAATCACGTAGAAACTATAGATCATATATTTTTAGAATGTCAGAAAACACAATTGTTCTGGAAAAAGCTAGAGGTGTGGATCAAAACTAAAATACCCCTCCCAGTTCACATCACTAAAGATATGATAATATTTGGAATTATATTCAATAATAAAGATAATATCATCCTCTGTTTAGCCAAATCTTTTATCCATAAACAACGAATTTTACAATCATCCCCTGTCTTCAAAGTTTTTTAAATAGAATTTCAATTCTATTTAAAATCCCTGAAACACCTAAACAAATACAGCGAAAATCTATATAACATGTTAGCTGAACTTCCAAAGTGATTTCCTAATTCTATATGATAAATGCTGTACCCTCACTGAAAGCTGTACTTTACTTGTTCTTCATGTTCTTTTGTCTCTTGTTGTTCTCTTTTACTGGATATTTACAAATCTTATATTAACTGCTCCTTTTGAATTTAAGTTTTGGACTTAACATTGTCAAAGTGCCATGTTTGTTTGAAAATTTACTTAAAAAAATGTTATATTAGTTATAGCGCCCCCTTCAGTTCCGGAACGCAAGTTTTGCATTTTCCAAATATGGTATGAGTCTGACTACTGGCCCGACACCGCCCCTTTCTGCGTGCTGCAGCGAGGTCCTTCTCTCCACCAAAGAGTGAGTGATTGCTCACAGTTTCTCCATACGGTGGGTCCAGGTTTCTGGGATCAGGATCACACCTGCTGGCTCGCACAGAGGTACCGTGACGAAATCCTGAGGCCCATTGTTGTGCCATTCATCCACGACCGTAACCTCATGTTAACGCATGACAACGCACCGCTGGCTCGCGCTCACGCTCTTCCACCGCTAGAGCACGAGAGTACAATCCACCGAAGAAGAGGGGGACAACTTCATCCTTACCCTCAGGTGAGCTTCGACATAAATGTTGTTGTGATAATCACGTTAGACGTCAGTCAGACGTGGTTTCAGCTCTACTAATGCGTCCGGTTCATGGAACATGCGGGCTGAACGGTTGGTGTTCCGATCGTGTGAGTTAGGCTGATCTATAGCTCTGGTCTGATCCAAAGAAAGTTACGACACTCCTTGAACTTGCCGACACGCGGTCACGTGGTTCATGTAGCCCCGAATTGACCCTTTTCGCCGACGTCACCTAATCACGTGGGTCCACCATGCTGGACGGCAAAAGCATATAAACAGTGAGCAACACATACTAAGCAAAGGGAAAAGTAGAGCCTGAAATTGTTTTTGCGATCAAAACAAAAACAAAACTCCTCCAGCATTCCTTCCACTAGTTCATGCCCAGTTCAGTTATCAGAAGAAGTAGCGCATCTAGCGGTATGCTAACTAGCTTACCAACGTTAGCTTACATTCTCTCTGCAGCTGTTCACCGATGTAAACATGTTGCTAACTTTGCCTAAATTCACCCCTCTGGATTTATAACTTTATTATAAACAGCGTTTCACTTCACACCAAAGCTGATTGTTAAAAAGTCCGGATCCCTACCAGCTTCTGTTGCTGGTGGTGGTACCGGGTTCAGCTGCTGCTCTCACACCGGAATGAGAAGATCTCTGAACGCTGACGCTCATATAAATAAATAACGTAATTTTAACACACGTAATCATACATCAGAGCTTTAATGTTGTTAATAATAATTGTCTCGCTTTACACTACAGTGGACGGAGCGCAGCCTCAGTGGTGAAACACCCATCCATCAGGATTATCAGTAACTAGTATAAACACACCACATTTATCCCTGTCCCTGTCTTCCTCCTGAAATAAATGAACGTTAATATTACCCGCTAAAAACATGCTCGCTGCTAATCTGAGGCCTGCTAGTCCGCTCGATTGATCTCTGCAGTTCATCTCCGTCCTCAGTCTCCATCAAAGTTATTAAAAAGAAAAAAACGAGTTGAGTTTACGTCCTCGTCTGTTAGTGCAGCCGACCACGCAGCAAGCTAAAACATTTTACTGTCAAATCAACTAAATAAAAGCCATAAAAGGCTACAAACTGGCTTGTTTTGACTAGCTTCACTGGAGTTTCTACAGGTGTAAACGGTCTTTTTGCCGTCCATCATGGCGAAGGGGGCGGTCACATGAGTGGCGTGACGTCACGTGCAAAGGGTCAATCGCTCCAAACAGCTCAGCGCTGCTAGTCAGTGCGGCTTCTGGTCGGACTGGACTCTAAAACGACCCTTTTCTCATTTCTATAGTGAGTGTTAGGTGATTATTGACCAATAATGTTTATTGATTATTATAATTATGCATTTTAACAAAGCGGTTATCTTTTGGAGCTGCAGGGATGACATTTATCAGTTTTATGTATTAGGGCAGCCAGGCTGCAACCAGAACGTAACAAACACACAGACATGTATATCTATGTCTGTGAGCAAACACGTAGGTTACAGGTCATGTTTAGCTAAAATCGGTATAATTGTATAAAAATAAGTGTTTATATTAAACTCTCATCAATGTAAGGATGTAGTTTATAATTTGACAGCTTCTGTTCTCTGCATGAGTGCATAGATGCTATACTTTTGTTCTAATATAGACTTAAATGTGTCAATGGTTCAGATTACCTTCAGATCTACAGAACATGATATATTACTGTTTCCAGGACGTAATATTCAGTCTGTCTGTTGTCAGATGGAACATGAGCTAATGACTTGGAGGGAAACTTGTGGCTGTAGATGCATCTCTAACCTGCTGATTGTGCTTCCAGCCTAACAACCAGTGGAAAATAGTGACTAATTGATTAGAATGTTAATTTAAATAAAACTGTTTCTGGTTAAAACCTTATTAGATGACAGAATAAGTGTGTGTAAGTTATGCAAAACCAAACAAACATTTTTCATGTATTTATTTATTAAAAGCCAGAGATCATAATAACAGAAAAGTGTGTGTTCTCGTGCTGTGGTCTGCTGATCTGCTGCTGCTCTCCACATGTTGGGTGAGATGAAAACTGCGAGGTAAAGGGCTTTTATCTATGCTGCCCCTTGACTCTGGAACTCACTTCCTCTTTTGATCAGACTGGCTCCGTCTCTCCCGTTTAAAATTTTGTCTAAAGACCCACTTTTTTGCTTTGGTCAGTGACTTTTATGTTTTGTTCTGTGGTTTTATTGCTCAGCTGTTCTTATTTGTTGTACTTTGTTGTGTGTATGTTTCTGTGCTGTACAGTGCTTTGGTCGGCTCCCATGCTGTGTTTAAATGGTATTGTATGGCAGGTCTGATGTGATCGACTGCTCTCTGTAGTTGTTTAGGTCACTAAGTGTGGATGTAGCTTTCTTGGAGGGCTAGGATGCCCCTGGAGGTCAGATGGCCATTCCCACAATGCCCTGCTCTGGCATGGAGGATCTCCAGCTCCTTGGTCATGGGCATGGTGGGCTCCTACTCCTATTTCTGGACCAGTAAGTTGGCACTTGTAGTAACTAAAAATCAGTGAACTGAAGTAACTTCTCAGCCATCTTTGTTGTGTCAGTTAATGCATTTTTCTCCTTCAAGAGTACATGAATTATCTAACTGTCCACAATCATGAAGTCTTGTTGAATCTGATTGACCACCGGCCCGCAGACACGCCCCTCATCACTCTAGCCAATCATCAGTCCTGCATGGATGACCCACATCTCTGGGGTAAGAGCTGATGACCCCCTCTGGTGTTCCAGATGATGGTTCTAATGGAAAACCTTGTGTTCCGAGCCACAGGTGTTCTGAAGCTCAGACAGCTGTGGAGCTTCAACAAGATGAGGTGGTGAGTTTCTTACATTCATTCAGTCACACACCTGTAGCAGTGAGCTGGGATCACTTGGCTTCCTTACCTGCACCTGAACAGGACACCAACAGCGTCAGACATCTGCTTCACCAAAGAGCTCCACTCCATGTTCTTCAGCCGTGGGAAGTGTGTTCCTGTGTGCAGAGGTGAGCACCCGTCGTCCGGAGCTCCTTGGTCCCAAGTGATGGACTCACGCTGTGGCTGTTCCTCAGGTGATGGTGTCTATCAGAGAGGGATGGACTTTGCTTTAGAGAAGCTGAACAGAGGAGAATGGGTGCACATTTTCCCAGAAGGTTAGCAACTGCCCCCCCCCCCCCCCCCCCCCCACCTCGATTTCAAACAAAATAAAATAAAATAAACTTCTGATTTTCTATTTACCAGGAAAAATCAACATGTCCGATGAATTCATCCGTTTAAAGTGGGGTGGGTACAACACACTTTACTCTGCAGTTACTGCGTTTAGTGTCTGCGGCACCGGTTACCATGGAAACCCATAATGGAGACCAGGCTGGTGTGGAAAACAGGAGCGTGAATTCTGAGTTTATGTCTGGATGTTCTCACAATTCAAAATGTGGATGAGACCCAGATTACAGATTATACACAACCGCTTACAGCTGGTTTAGGTAAAAGTCAGAACATTATGACCGCCCTATCCCACAGTTGGCTCGGAAGATATTTTATTTATTATGGTCTTGTATGGGATTAGACCCGCTCAGACCCTGATTAGATCTGGAGCCAAACTGAGCCCTGCTTCTGTTGTGTGTGTGTGTGTGTGTGTGTGTGTGTGTGTAGATTCACAACATGTTGGCCTCTACTGAGAAACCATTTTGCTGTCCAGTGTAACGGTCTGGATTGGACGAGGATAAACTCAGATACTCCCAGAGTATCTACTTACCCACTTGGGTGGACGCTAGCTGAGGTTCCACATCGTACCTTCTCTGTGCTAAGAGCTCTGTCTGATTACCCCAATAATAATCCATCCATAAGGCCCTGGGTTTCTGCATCAAGCTGAAGCTCTCGGCATCAGGAGCGTGATTTTAACTATTTTTTCTGACAACATGGGCTTTAACTGAGGAAGATCAGGAGCACCATGAGAAGGAGAGGATGAGATTGCAGGATTCAGCTTTTCATGTTATTTTGAGTTGGGTCACCCCCCTAAACCTGTCTTTCATGGACTTGGGCCTCTGTCAGCAGGAGGATGCTCCATCCTCCGCTGCAAAAACACTTCAAGTTCAGTTGAAGGATCGCAGCTCTCCAGATGTTCATTTTAACCAACCCAGCAGAGCTTCAGAAGTCTAGTGGTGACCAGGCCTCAATGATCTGGACTGTCTTCTCAGATGTTTGTGATGGTTCCAGGACCTTACTGGTTACCTGTGTTTCAGGTGTAGGCCGGCTGATAGCGGAGTGCTCTCTTAATCCTGTTATTTTACCACTCTGGCATGTCGGTGAGTACAACACCCACCTGTGGTGGAGTTCCAGTTCCCTTTGAGCCACACCTGCTAATCTACCAGATTATTCTAATCTGGTGAATGTGCAGCAGACCGCCATGCTTCTCTTTCTGTCTTCAGGTTTGAATGATGTTCTACCCAACGTGGAGCCCTACATTCCCTGCACAGGAAAGGTGACACAGTGTGTGTGTGTGTGTGTGTGTGTGTGTGTGTGTGTGTGTGTGTGTGTGTGTGTGTGTGTGTGTGTGTGTGTGTGTGTGTGTGTGTGTGTGTGTCACAGTAGCGTTAACCAGCAGTCTCGTTCCAGAGAATCACCGTTCTGGTGGGAAAACCGTTCAGCCTTAAAGAGCTCGTTGACTCCCTCCGAGCGGAGAACAAGAACCAGGTGAGGACAGAAGGCCGTCCTGCACTGCCCAGCCAAAAACATGTCACACACTCTAATACTCCACTGGACCTCCTTTAGCTTTGATTACGACACACATTTACTGTGGCGCTGTTTTGATAAACTTCTACAACATCACCAGATTTCTCTCCATCCTGTGTTGCATTAACTGATGATGGTGGAGTACCTGCTCTGGAGTAGTTCCTCCAAACGGCCCGGTGGCGTAGCTGAGCAACACCTCCGGTTAAGTCGTGCTGATTGGTTGTGACTCAGTAAGAAATGACATCAGCAGATGTCCTAAACAACCGGCAGCAGTAAAATTAGAAGAGTAGCTGGTGAAGCAGAATGGAAGCAAAAACAAACAAAAACAAAAAGCACCATCTGACTCCCGATGTGGTGGAATTCCTCCACAGCTGTTGGAAAAAACGGGGAAGTTCCCCCACAGACTTGATTAATGGGGCTCGTCTCACAAAACTCAGAGCTGCTCTTGTCCTCTGAATGGATGAAATTAGGATAAACTTCTATAAAAAATGCTTTTAATATTATTAATGTTACTTTTGGGGCTGATCAGTGAAATCGCCAAAGCGTTCGTGATGTGCTGACTTGTGTGCAAGTTCTGAAAGGGCTGGATTTGATTGAAGATGCAACAGCTGAGAGAACTGGGACATCCTATCTCCTGGTCAAGTTCCCCATGCCAGGAACTACCCTGGAGTTCTGCTAATGGAAACATGCCTGTTGATGTCTCATGCTCTCTGGACCACTCTTTCACTCTCTGAGCCTGATGAATTCTGGCATTGTCCTCGTGGAATATGGCCGTGCCATCAGGGAAGAAGGAATAACCCGGTCATTCAGGATATTCAGGTAGTCAGCTGACCTCATTCTTGGAGCACTTCCTGTTGCTGAACCTAGACCTGACCACCTGCAGCAAGCCCAGATCATAACACTGCCCCCACAGGCTTGTACAGTAGGTGCTAGGCATGGTGGGTGCATCACTTCATCTGCCTCTCTTCTTACCCTGATGCACCATCACTCTGGACCAGGGTCCATCTGGACTCATCAGACCAGTTTCTAATAATGTGTTGGACAGTTCTGAACCCAGTTTTAGTCGTTTCTGCATCTCCTTAGATGTTTTCTCTCCTTGATGCACGCCAGTGATCTGACCCTTCTCACACAGACTAACGTCTTCTCCACGACCACCAGGTGTCTTTCCACCTGGTTGTTTAAGAAATGAGAAGCAGCTCATTGCACCAGTTGGGGTTAAATAACTTGCTGTAGCTAAAAGATCATCACCCTGTTGGCTTAGTTAAACCCAGGTGGAGACGTGTTGGCCAGGTGTGTGTCATCATGACACTGCGGTGAGCACCAGCTAAAGCTGAGCGGCGTGGCTCCAGTTTGATAAAAACAAAAGTTTTAAACCTTGTGTTTTTTGTTAAAAGAATAATAAAAACATATCAGAGGATCAAAAGTTTGAACTTCAACTCCTCTGTGAATAAAAAGGTCTAAATGTAAGGAATAATAATTTAATGACAGCGGCCTTCAGTTGCTGACCCAGATTTGTTGCTGGGCGCGAGGGTGACTGTTCTCCTCAGCAGAGGGTACACCAGTAATGATCTTTTTACACAGAAAACACACAGCTGCATGCTGTTTGTTAGCTGGGTGTAAATCAAAACTGGTTTTTATACATTTCTCTGAAACCTTCCCGTAGATGGAGATGAGGAAGACCTTGACCGATTTCATCCAGATGGAGTTCCGGAAGCTGAAAGCGCAGGCAGAGGCCCTCCACGTTCAGATACAGAGACAATCCTGACTCCATGTAAGCAGGAACGACGAGACTGACGAGCTTTAACTCTCAGTCCGAGGGTAAAAGCTCTGTTCTGATGTTTGTTCTCCTTTGAATCTGTTGATGTTCTACTTGTTTTAGATCTAACCGCTGCTGTGAAAGTGTAGTCTACCCAAACCTAGATCAGCAGGTAGCCGGTGGAATATTCTGAATCAGGGTTGAATCTCAGGTACTGCTCCACACACAGCAGCACCCTCCAGGTTGAGGCCTTCTGTTAGATATGTCTGGACCTGCATTTACTGGGACCCTTCGAAAGGTCATAGTCGTGCATCTAGAATGTTTTTAACTTCATGTCTGCAGTTCATTATCGTCTCATCATGTGACTGCTCTGCTTTTGGCTCCTACCTCAGTGGGAGCCCTGGAACTGCGTCCCGGGTTTACGTACCGTCCATGCCTGCGTGGGACCTTCTCCTCAGTTAGAGGTGAAGGAATAGTTATCTCTTTTCCAGAATTCACACTCTTTTAAGTATTTGTGTGTTGTTGTAGTGTTCCTGGTACTGTGTGTGCTCTAACTGCACTCATATCAGGAGTGAGGAGGAAACAACGGAAACTATTAGATCAATTCTGAAGATGTGGGGAAATCCAGGCAGGATCACACGCGTCCAACACGCTAGCACGGATCCAAAGGTCTTATCCCTCATGAAGTCAACCAGGAAGGACGCTGTTTGTTTCCTTTTAAAATGGGGAAAAGGAGAAACGAATGATTATTACACACGTTTTCTAACACTGACAGGGACTTTCATCTCAGAGTTTTAGCTTCCTGGAAATGTTTTGTCTTTGGTTAGAGATCTGGTAAAGGGCCAACCCCCCTCCAATGTACAACAGGGATATGTGTGACTGTTAATGGACACCAACATGTTTTTGTTTTATGAATAAATCTTTTACTGCCTTTCTTCTAACTAATCATTTATTCTGACTTGTACGAAAATGATTCTAAAGTTTGTGAATAAAAAACTTTCTGAAGTCAGTGTGAGGAAATGTTCCTGAAATCGGACCGGGTCTGGACGGGCTCCTGCACAGGAGCGTTGGGTCAGCAGGGGGCGCTACTCCAGGCGGTCCCTCATGAGTGAGACAGCATCTTTAGTAAGAACCTTTATTTTCCGACTCGGTGCGAGTCATTAAATATATATCATAGTCACGTGACATTCCTCTACGTGATCAGCGTCACCTGCTCTAGTCGGAGACAGGAAAGATGGCGCCGGCAGAGACAGGTCCCAGCATCTCCGCGGTTGTGGCGGCGGTTCTCGGCCTGCTCTGTCTCCTGAACACCGGGCAGTGTGACGAGCAGGTGCCGCTGCTGATGTGGACCAGCGAGGGGTGAGTTCTGCCGGTAGAACCGGGCCGGGTCTCCCCGGAGTGAGCCGAGGAACTGTTCAGTCCAGTGATGGTCGCTAGCTTCGGTTATCAGGTCCGCCGTAGAGGGGGAGGGGGGGTTCTATGGATCCAGAACCTCATCTAAAATACACAACGTGATGTTAATTTTGTCCTCCTTACACGTCAGTAATTAACTATAGGGTAAACTCTGCGTGTGTGTGGACAACCAAGCTCCAGACAAATGTTATAACTGCCTCCAGAGGTTGATTAAGGTTACCATGGTAACAACAGCACAACCATATTCTTGGTCTCCTTTGTGAGTGAGGAAACGGTAAACCTATTGAGTCGTCTTAAAGCAGCTAATTGCCGTTTCAAGGCATTTGGGGGCCCAAGGGATGGACTTTGGGCCCCCCCTCTTTGTCAAAATGGACCTTGAAACTGACCCTCCTCTCCCCACAAGACAGCCACAGCATGGACACACTTGTTTTTGTTTGCACTAACTTTTTTTTGAATCAAATACCTTTGGTACAGTGCAAACTGTTTAGGTATCTTGCAAATTACTGCATGTATGGTTATGTTTACATTTGCCGAAAATCCTCTATCACCCTATAACAACAAACATTAGGTAAATGCAAACTGCATGAAATAAATCAAATTAAATATAAAATGCACAAGGCCTTTTGTCACAATTTGACAGTGCAAACGGTCAGTCTAGGCCATTGCATCATCAGTCATAAATATTAAAGAGCAAGTCGCACCAAAATCTTTTTTTTTTTTTGGCTGATAACTTGTATAAATGTGTGTCTAATAGTATTATAGATGTGTTTAGTCATTATTTTGGTGCATTTTCTTTGAAAACACAACATTCTTTCTAAAACGTCAGTCCAGTGCCCTCTTCAGCTGTGAAATGTTGTAATGGTAGCTCGATGTTTTAGCAAAACCATTCTTTGTATCTGAGAGAATTTGTGAAGTCTGGGTTGTAAAATTATTTGTTTGGTTATAAACTAGAGAGTTGTTTATTGATAAAATTCATCAGACGCAATCTGTTGTGTCTATTATACCCTTGTGGAGACCCCCAGCAGATCCTAACTGTCAGATGTCAGGTTAACCTTGACCTCTAGGAACCGACGCCCGTAGAATATCCACGATACGACCCATCCGGTCTTGAAATATCTCCAGGTCACAACATTTTTCTGGTTAGCGTCCAGGTTGAATGTTTGACTCTTAAAAGAGCCGTTTGGGCTGTGCCAGCTTGCAACGTGCAAAGAGGCTTTGACTGGAGGTCAAAGTGGATTGATTCAAAAATGCTTGTTCCCAAATTGGCCGGTGCATTTCATTTATATTGTAGTTATTATAAGTGACAGTAAACGAACGTTTATTTAATGATTATTTAACTTATAAGTTTTAAAAGTTAACATTTAATTTAAGAATTCATTCTTTGATTTAGCAACTAATCCGAGCTGCGGGTGTTCCTTATTCAGAGGCATGAAGAGTCCTGTTGGACGATAAGGGAAGCTTGAACCTTGAGGAGAGAACATCATTGTTGACAATTCGTTATCTGTGTTCAGAGCTGCAGATAGGCTCTGAGCTCCAGCTGATGGGATGAAGGCAGACAGATTAAAGGGAACACGTGCAGTCTTGTGTCTCCATTTTGACCAGAGATTGAATGGTCAAACTGTACTTAAAAACTGACCATTGCTGGACATTACAGTGGAAACGGAGGGGTCCTGATGGTTGTTGATGCTGGTTCTGCTGCATGTTTGTGTGTAGTTTCACTTTCACTTTGGTCTACTAATTTTTTTATTCATTTATTTATTTATTTTTGTGGTGTTGGAGATGTCCTTACGATGGGTTAACTGCAGCAATTTACACCGTGGTTAATAGTCAAACCGCTTAATCCTTGCAACCCTACTAATAGGCAGGTGTACATTAAAAGCTCATCAGTGATAGGTTGGTTGTTTGGGAACAACCCAATAGGCGTGGCTTAAAGAATCAAATCAATCAAATCTAGGGTTGTCACGGTAACCGGTATAGCGGTAAACCCCGGTAAAAAGGTTGACAATAAAAATAACCGTCCAGTTTTTAAAAAACTATATTATCTCGGTGGGTTTACCGTGGCCGCGGTTTCGGCGCGGTGACCCTTACCAGCCACCGTCGCTTCAGCTGAAGTTCCCGCGGCGCGCACACGCACTTTTAGTTTGCAATGGCACCAAAACTTTGAAGCTGAAATAACGGCCGAAGGAGGAGACGGCAGCGCCCAGGACATCCATCAGCCCTCAAAGAAGACTAAATCGGAAGTATGGGCATATTTTGGATTTCTGAAAAACGCTGAGGGACAGTTAATAGAAGACTGCTATCCCGTTTGCAGAACGTGCAGGAAACAAGTGTCTGCAAAAGGCAGCATCACTTCGAATCTAATGGCACATCTGCGTGACCATCACCCACGGCTCTACAGCCAGTGCAAGGTAAGCTAACATTAGCATTTTAGCTTAAATGCATGACGCGAGGACTTTTGGTTGAGGGAGAATGCAACGAGTCACTATATACTGCAGCCGCAGCGTCCTCTGGCAGCATTTAAACCGTGTCACGGACACCCTGTTGCTGGATAAAGCATCTTATTTGTTGATGATGAAGAGAAATATACAATTAGTTCCTTGTCATTGATTTGTTTACTTATTCAATGCCATTTATACTTGAACATTTGGATTTGATTACATAGTGTAGTAGTTATTTTAGTAATTTGTTTAAAGTGGCTATTTATTTTAAATACATCTTTTTTAAGGTTGACTTGTACAGTGCTCAAGTCAAGTGTGGACTGGAGTTTTAGATTTTCATTTTGATAATGAAGAAAACAAGTATATGAGAAAACAAGTGGTGTTTCTTTGATTTGTTTACATATTGTTTATGTTTCGAATGTTTGGATTTGTATAATTTAAACCTGCACTGACTACTGTAACATGTTCCAGAAAAAGAAGCTATTTGTTCCTTTACTTGTGAAAAGTTGCACTTTTGCTAAGGCTTTGTGTTATTTTAGGTTTAATAAACACTGTTAAACCTTTTCAAAACTATTTCGGTTTGTGTAGAACAGGACTATCAATGCTTTCTGAACATATGCAACACCGTTTAAAAAATACCGCGATAATACCGAAAACCGTGATAATTTTGGTCACAATAACCGTGAGGTTAAATTTTCATACCGTGACAACCCTAATCAAATCAAAGATACTTTATTAATCCCAGAGGGAAATTAGAGTTTCAGTACACAATTCAGAGATCAGACATACATGGGCAAGACGCATGACAAGAATTGGTGACTGTGGTCATTCGCAACCCTGAGTCGCGCTACCTTAATAGAGATCAGAGGGTTACATGAGGATTGGTTCAGGTGGAGGGAAATAAAAGGCACTTCAGGGTTACCCACCATAGGGAGGGCAGTTTTGTTATGGAAAAAAAAAACACCTCAAACAGATATGCAACAGACTTCAGACATTACACAACATAAGTGTCCACTAGGTGGGGTGGTGGGTTGGGACTATCCCTACTTCAGTTCCTGCAGCCACGATAGAAGCAGCGTGTGTCACCTCAGTGTGGATGGGGGGGGGGGGCATTGAGGGTTGGAGGGTTGCAGTGACCCTGGACGCTTCGGTGGCCTTCCCGCAGTCCCGCCCAGGCAGGGATAGGAGACAGAGTTGAGTTTCCGTAGCGACGGTTCATTCCACATATCTTCTGAGGGGGGAGTTTTCGTTGTGGCCTTGCAGGCTCAAGGGCGCCAGATTCCTATTAGAAATTGTTTTGGGGCCAGACAGAGATAATTTCCTCTCTGCCTTACAGTTTGTTGGTCCTCAACCTCTCAAAATCCCAATAATGGAAAATAAACTATCTCAATCCGTGCTGATTCGTCCACTCTATCCTTGATGGCATCCATCTTCTGTGCCAATGAATGAATCTCGGCCGAAGTCCCAAGCTTACGATTCATCTGGACAATTATGTGAGTCTGTGAATTCACAGCGCGGTGCAAACCATCTCTGAGCTCCGGGATCAGGCCAATATTCCTCGACAGCTCATTAATTTTCCGGTAAGCCAGGTAGCCTCCAATGCCGATCAGCAGGAAACCCGACACCAACACCACGAATATCCACACATCTTCAGAGTCCTCCACAGACAGCTGGTCTGTCCCGGAGGGGCATCCGGGAGCCCCTTCTCCCGTTCTCATCGTAGAAAAAATCTTATCAACCGCATTGAGTGACCAACTGACGAGATCCATTTTAATGAATTTCAGTTTCCAGTTTCCAGAAAAAATGCAGAAGCAGCCGTGCACCCAGCACCCACAGACAGACAAAGGCCTTGAGGATAAGATATGGAGGAGAGGAGAAGAAAAGCGTCTGCACCCTCCAAGAGCCGGAAACTCTTTATTCCATACTCATAGAGTCTGGGGTTGCATTATGTAACCAACGATATGTGGTGTTCCTCCTGTGGCATTCAGACTCCGAGTTAGAATGCTGCTATGGAAGCCCTCCTGTAACGGGAAGAAAGGTCTGGTCCGGGGGCGATGGGGCTGGTTTAGCGGGCCTATTAAGTGCCCCTGGTCTAGGCGTTGTAGTTTTATAATTAAATTAAAAAAGGCTTAGGTAGTGGAAAGTTTGGGTTGAATTGCCCTTTCCAAAACGAGAACCATGAATGGGAACCAACTACGGCTTTACGTTGAGGGCTTCTAGGGGAGCCTGTCATCCTTTAGCTCCCCCGTCATTCAAACCCTGCATGCTGGGTAAACCCCTGCAATGAATCTGCATATTTCTAGTACTAGAGACCACTTGAACACATTTGCCAAATGATTTGCGCAATAATCTGATATTTTACTTCCACAAAATGCAAGTTCCAGATTAGATATTACAGAAAATGGGAACGGCTTTACAACAAATTTAAAAGCTGTCCCTCGTTATTTAGGCCATCATCTTTTAAGTCAGGCCATTCTAGTGACACCGGGTGGGCTTGCTGGCTTTTACTATGGTAGACAAAAATCTCAGGAATGTTGAGCTATTAAGCTGCCAGCTTGTCAATAATGGCTTTGTGAATTTTTGACTTGCTCTTCTCTTCTTATAGGGTCTCCGTTCCACATCAGTCTTCTCCAGTAGCAGGACATATCATTGGACAGCAGCAGCTGGCCTTTTACCTGGAGAAGGCTCTGGACATCGGCCCACGCAATGTTGTGCTATTCTTTCAGGATAAGGTGTGGAGCACAGATATGCCATTCATAAATAAAATGTCCTGTCGTGTTTGGATTTTAATAGACAATACAAAAAATATTTCTCCTCAAGTAAGACATGGTGCTTTCTTGGATGGAAACTGTTCTTGTTTCCTTTTGTCAGAAGAATTGTTAGTGTCCTTTTCTCTGAAATTTAGGACAGCAGATTAGGGGAAATCTGATAAGTGTTGTTTAACACAAATGGGCTTTGACTCAATACAGTTGGTAGAATAGTAAAACCATTGTGGGATGACGTTAGGGTTTCACATTCAGCTCTCTGTAGATGAAAACCCTACACTGATAATCAAATGGAACCCATGTGGTCACCTCATCACCACAAATGGTCTGATATATGACAGCATGGTGTTCAGAGGGGGTTTTCTGACATAACTGGACTTCCTAAATCTGCATCGTCCCACTCTGGTCCTCAGTCTTCATTGTCTTGTCTCACTGTAGCTGAGCATTGAGGACTTCACCTTGTATGGAGGGGTCTTTGGAAACAAGCAGGACAGTGTTTTTCCCAACCTTGAGGTAAGATCTTTTGTTTCATCATAAACTTTCATTAAATTTGATTCCCAAGAGAACGTCAATGTCTCATATGTTTACTGGTCATTATGGTTAGGTTATGGTGACCAGTCCTTGTGAGGAAATGATGCCTGATGCTTCTGAATCACACTCAAAAAGTCCAGTCCATCAGGAAATATTCCACTTATGGTTGCATTTTCAAGGTGCTGAATTCACCAAAAACTTGCCTGATGTAATCTAAGGCCATTTCTCTGCCCTCACACATCCATCCATCCATCCATTTTCTTCTGCTTATCTGGAGTCGGTTCGTTGGGGCAGCAGCCTAAGTTCAGAGGCCCAGACTTCCCTCTCCCCAGCCACTTGGGCCAGCTCTTCTGGGGAAGTCTGAAGGCATTCCCTGGCCAGGCGAGAGACATAGCCCCTTCAACGTGTCCTGGGTCTACCTTTAGGTCTCCTCCCGGTTGGATGTGCCCAGAAAACCTAATCAGATTCAATTAAATTCAATTCAATTTTATTTATATAGCGCCAAATCACGACAAGAGTCGTCTCAAGGCACTTCACATAATAAACATTCCAATTCAGGTCAGTTCATTAAGCCAATCAGAAATAATGTTTCCTATATAAGGAACCCAGCAAATTGCATCAAGTCACTGACTAGTGTCAGTGACTATACAGCAATCCTCATACTAAGAAAGCATGCAGCGACAGTGGAGAGGAAAACTCCCTTTTAACAGGAAGAAACCTCCAGAGAATCCTGGCTCAGTATAAGCAGCCATCCTCCACGACTCACTGGGGATCGAGAAGACAGAGCAGACACGCACGCACACACACACACACACACACACACACACACACCAAGCAATGTTTCTATGGTAACATTGTGATTTCTTAGTAAATATTCTATTTGGTGAGAGATAAACTTTATTGTATTTATCCTAGTGAATCTATAATTAAACGGGTAATCTAGTAGTAGCACATTCAATGTCAAAGAGAGTAAAGTGTTATTATCAGGAGAGAGAGAATGTATTAGTGGTTAGCAGCAGTGTGCTAGACGATGGCCCCCTCCATGAGGCCACCACAGCTCAGCAGAACATCGTTGTAGCTTCTTCTGGGGAGAAAAACACTTAGAGAGAAAATAAAGTTAACAGCTGAAATAGCAGGAAATAATACAGTTAAAGAGCAGATTGTAGAAGAAAGTAGTAGAGTGTGGAAAGTGGTCAGTGTGTCCTCCAGCAGTCTAAGCCTATAGCAGCATAACTACAGAGATAACTCTGGATAACATAGCCTTTTAGATGGAGGCATGTTGGAGGCGGGGCAAGGGAGAGTTGTCTTTACCGACTGTACACTCCACCTCCCTCTACTCCCCCACTTGTCCAGATTTAGGCTAACATCAGATTTTAACCATAGGCCCTATCAAATAAAAATGTTTTAAGCCTAGTCTTAAAATTTGACAAGGTATCTGCCTCACGGACTAAAGCTGGGAGCTGGTTCCACAGGAGCGGAGCCTGATAACTAAAAGATCTGCCTCCCATCCTAACTTTAGATATTCTGGGAGCCACCAGTAAACCTGCAGTCTGAGAGCGAAGTGCTCAGTTAGGAACATATAGAACAATCAGATCACTGATGTATGATGGAGCTTGATTATTAAGAGCTTTATATGTGAGAAGGAGGATCTTAAAATCTATTCTGAATTTAACAGGTAGCCAATGTAGGGAAGCTAAGACAGGAGCGATATGATCTCTCTTTTTAATTCTCATCAGAACTCTAGCTGCAGCATTTTGGACAAGCTGAAGACTTTTAACTACATTCTGTGGACTTCCTGAGAGTAATGAATTACAGTAATACAGTCTTGATGTAATAAATGCATGAACTAGTTTTTCAGCATCACTCCTGGAAAGTATGCTTCTAATCTTAACAATATTCCGAAGGTGGATGCCTGAGCCACCGCAACTGGTTCCTTTTGATGTGGAGGAGCATCAGGTCTACTCCCAGATGACTGAGCTTCTCTTTCTATCTCTAACGTAGAGCCCAGCCATCCTGCGGAGTAAACTCATTTTTGGCCGCTTGTATCTGCGATCTTGCTCTTTTGGTCACTACCCAAAGCTTGTGATCACAGGTGATGGTAAGAATGTAGATCTACCAGTAAATCGAGAGCTTCACCTTCTGGCTCAGCTCTCTTTTCACCACTACAGGCCGGTAGAATGCCTGCATCACTGCAGCACCAACCCTAAACCGATCTTGCTCTCCAGCTTTCCCTCAATTGTGAACAAGACCCCAAGATACTGCTACTCCACCTGGGGCAGGACCTCATCCCTGACCCGGAGAAGGCATTCTACACTTTTCCGACTCAAGACCATGTTTCCGGATTTAGAGGAGCTGATTCTCATCCCAGTTGCTTCACACTCTGCTATGAACCGCTCCAGCAAAAGTCGGGAGATCACATTTTGATGAAGCCAACAGGACCACATCATCTGCGAAAGGCAGACTCGATCCTCAGGCCACCGAAACAGATCCCTTCAACACCTTGGCTGCACCTAGAAAGATCCAGAGGCCTTAAGGATCTCCGGCCAGATCTCATCCACCCCCGGAGCCTTGCCACCGAGGAGCTTTTTGACAACCTCAATGAGCTCAGCCCCAGAGATAGGAGAGTCCAACCCAAAGTCCCCAGGCTCCGCTTCCTCACTGGGACACGTGCCGGTGGGATTGAGGAGGTCTTCAAATTATTTTGCCCACCTATCCACAACACCTCAAGTAGAGGTCAGGTGTTAGTATCACACTGCTTTCCCCCCAAGGCGCCGAATGGTGGACCAAAATCTCTTCGAAGCGAGGCAGAAGTCTTGCTCCGTAGTCTCACCGAACTCCTCCCATGCCTGTGTTTTTGCCTCTGTGCACCCAAGCCACATTCCGCTTGGACTGCTGGTATCTATCGGCTACTTTAGATTCCCACAGGCCAAAAATACCTGATAGGACTATTTCTTCAGCTTGACAGCATCCCCAACCACTGGTGTCCACCAACGGGCCCTAGGGTTGTGGCCACGACGGACACTGACGACCCTGCGGCCGCAGCTCTGGTCGGCTGCCTCTACAGTGGAGGCACGGAACAGGACCCATTTGGACTCAATGCCCTCTGCATCCCATGGAATGCTTTGGAAGTTCTGTTGGAGGTGGGAATCGAAGCTACTTCTGACAGGAGACTCTGCTAGATGTTCCCAGCAGACCCTCACGATACGTTTGGGCCTGCCAGATCTGATCCATCATCCATCCAGGCATCCCCCCCTAACATCGGAGCCAACTCACCACCGGGTAGTGGTCAGTTGATCAATTTAGGTTATAAAATCCAAAATGGCTCCATATATAAGCTTTTAATGTCTGTGTTCAGCTTTAGAATCAAATATTCATGCCACAAGTGTAAGAAATTAACATCTTTGGCTTAGTTTGTTCTTTTTTCTGAACCCAATGGTCTCATTTCAGATGTTGTCCAAAGTATGGGGACACACCCATATTTGCCCACATGAGGACAAAGCATGTATTTCTGGACTTCTTATTTACAACATGTAAAATAAATATAAAGAAAATGTTTTTATAATTTATATAAATCACTTTATTGTCCCTCGGTGGGGAGATTTTGGCATAACCGTAACAATTGGATTCACAACAGGAGCAAAATGGTGAGTAAAAATGGAGAATAAGAATGATTAACCCTTAAGGACCCAAATCCTTTTGAAATATAAAACAAATTGGAAGAAATACATCAAAATACAGAAAAACATCAATTAGAATAAAGAAGTAAAATAAATTTCGATATTTGTTAATGTAGGATGTCACTTGGAGTAGTCAAAGTTGCATGAATGACTCCAGAGGCAATTTAGCAGATGTTTAAAATGGGATGTGACCCATGCTATGGTCAGTCTATGGTCTCCACCTCCTAAAGCAAACCTCCACTTCCTCTGTTCTACATCAATGTTTCCTCAGCTGCAGGAGACAGAGTACGTACCCAGAGAGGGTAGAACAGCGTGTATTTGTAATCTGTTGTCTGATGTACCGTTGTCATAGGTGACGAGTGATCTGGTAGAGCCACCTCTCTGTCCTGTTTCTCCTCCCGCCACAGGGAGCTCTCCGGGCCGCCTCCTCTCCTCTAGTCTTGCCTTCTGTGGCTTGGCCTGCTTCCAGTGCAGTGATTGGTCAGCTGCAGGACCAGCTGGACACGTCTCCATTATACATGGACCCCGAGACTTTGAGCCAGCTCAGACTCAATGCTTCATCTCCCGCCTTGTTGGTGTTCAGGTTGCCCTACAGCATCGGGTAGGAACACACTGTTTCTGCTACAGCTCTACACACACACACACACACGCACGCGCACACGCGCACGCACGCACGCACGCACACACACACACACACACACACACCTGCATGCACATGTGCACACACACACACACACACACACACACACACACACACACACACACACACACACACACACACACACACACACACACACACACACACACACACACACACACACACACACGATATAATGTTACTAAATGGTTAGGTGGGGGATGTGTACATCTCTGTCCCTGTGTGTGTGTGTGTGTGTGTGTGTGTGTATAACCTGATAGAGCTGGTTTTTGTTATCTCATGGTATTTATCAGTTTGTTGTTTCATGGCTCTTCAGGGCTGATCTGCTGTCGGCAAAAGAAGTTCTCAGTGGAAACGGTGAGTTTGTGTAACATTGCTGTGCACGCTGAGATCACACTGTGTGACTTTTGGCCATGGCACAGAAAAGCATACGCCGCTAAGCAGACCGCTAACCAAAACAAAGCTGAAAAGATAGAAACACTTCTTCTTAGTGTCAGTTCATGACTCAGCTCATTTTCCTCCGAAAGGAAGGATCGTTTTTAAAACCCTCGCTTTGGCGTCAGACTCCGGCTGCGGGTCTCCTTTTCCCATCTTTCAGCTAAACAGACCTATCTGTCTGCTGAACATAAGTGGAGGAAGACGACGACGACGGCGCTATGACCGGAAGGTGGTGACATAGTGACAACATGTAGGTGCAACAGGGCAGCCAATTAAACCTGAACGTGACCAAAGCTGTTAAGGTGGTTTCACAAGTTCTAGGCACCTTTCAAACATCTGCAATTAAATTAAATTAAATTAATTTACATAGCACCAAATCACAAGGGTCATCTCAGGGTGCTTGTGTTCAGTTCATTATGCCAGTTAGTTCCTATATAAGGAAGCCCTGCAGATTGCATCGAGTCACTGACTTGTGTAAGAGACTTTACAGCAGTCCTCATACTAAACAAGCATGTGGCGACAGTGGAAAGGAAAACTCTATTAATGGAAAACCCATTTTTAAAGATTATTTCTGATTCTAATGGGTCACTGAGTGTTTCATGCTGACTGAACATGAAAATAGTCTCCTACACCTGCATTAGCCTCTGTTAAAAAAGATGGTAAAACTCTAGGATTAGAAAAGCCTGATGGATCAACTTTTATGGACTCACCCATCTTGACTCATGACGGGCAAGGCTGTTGTTGGTTTAGCGTCCAGCAAACAGCAGGGAACGTCCCAGCTAGTAGAAGCTAACTGTTAGCATTAGCAACTCCACCACACAGCAGTACTCCTCCAGCCTTGTGTTATTTGTGGAGGTAAAACATCGATGTTGCAGAGCAAGCAGAGTCAGTGGTAGAGTCGTGTTGCTGTTAGCCAATCAGAGGAGAGATGTCCAAATATGAGGAAATAAGACTCGAAATCCTGTCGTCTGAAGCTCAGCTGTGATCTGGCAACCTAGAGTACAACTTACAAGGCATTCATTCCTACTAGAGACCACTGCAAATGTGGATTAAATAAGTGAACCACACCTTTAACAGAAAGAAACCTCCAACAGAACGTGGATCCATATAAGCAGCCATCTGTCATCACTTACTGGGGTTTGAGAAGACCGAGCGGACACACACCAAGTAATGTGTCTATGGCTGCATGCATTGCCAGTTCTTAGTGGAGATTCTGTTTCTAACAAAATGTACTTAAATATCAGGTGAGGGTTTCCTTCTGAACAATACAAACAGTAAAGTCACGACAACCTTAGCACCTGGGGTGATGAAGAGACTGTGGGTAACGGTGACAGGTAGTTCATGTTGAAATCCAGGAGGTGTGAGGGGTTATGAATCCGGTGGGACAGTCCGTGATATTTGTTTGCTTTGTGACTTTCAGATGAGGTGATTGGTCAGGTGCTGAGCATCATGAAGAGCCAGTCTGTTCCGTACACCGCCATCTATACCGGCCTGCGGCCCTCCAGGGTCAGAGGAGACACATGTTCACGTGGTCATGATTGTTTGTGGTTGCATGTCTGCAGCAGTTTGGGTTCTTCTGCAGGAGTCGGTTTCTCTGTCTACTGAGACGGTCCCAGGAGGAGGACGGTCCCTGCTGCAGGCCAGAGGAGGATACCGGGAGAGAGAGAGGGAGCAAGAGCGACAACGAAAGATGAACGAGAGAGCAGGCATCTACGCTCCTGTGGAGTTTAAGGTGTGTGAGAAGATGAGTCTTTCTGTGCATAACACCGTGTTTACGAGCAGGATCCGTAATCCGATGCTTCTAATGCCTCCGAAGGAGGATGCTTTAAATCCTGATTGCAGTGTGAGTCTTTTTTTCCTTCTGTGCTCCACATCTGGTCCGACCGGAGAAGGAGGATAGAACCTGCCTCCTCCTGTGGGCCAAAAGCCTGTCGGTCAGCATCCTCCGGAGTGGTCGCTGGGAAGACCATGACCTGACCTCCTCTACCTTTGGTGAAGGTGCTCAACTTCAACTTCACGGCTCTGCTTGTGACAAAGACAAAGGAAGGTATTAAAGGCTCCAACAGCACTTCTCTAATATTCCTGATGTTCTGCCAAGCCTTGCTGTCCATCAGAGGGCCCACAAACTAGATGCTTTTAAACCGAACCTTAAGCTTGGTACATTTTTAAACTTCTTTTATTTACACTGCAGCTGCTGTTATGAATCTATTTTGCAGCACTTTCAGATTGCTGGAATACAAAGTCCATTACACATAAACTGTATTATTATTAGGGACCTGCCTGCAGGCTGGGCACTTGTTGTTCTCCACCAGAGGATTTGTTCTCTGTATTCTTCTTCTGTGGACGCTCGAATGGCAGCGTGCACCCCCACAAACGTTCGATGAAAACAAGCAGCCCAGGTAGCGCGGTTGACTTTGGGTCGCTCAGCCAAACGTTAGCCCAACCTTGGGGCAGAAACCCTGATATCTGAGTCAAGTGGTCAAAGGGCAGTTTTTATTTATCACTCACAGTTTTGTTCTGATGCAGGTTGGTCCTCAACTACGAGAACGTCCTCGGCCACCGGAGCTTCAAGCTGATGTAAGTGTGTGTGTGTGTGTGTGTGTTTTATCTATGTGTGTGTGTGGTTTATTTATACTCACCTAAAAAATGATCAGGAACACCACACTAATACGTTGTTTGACCCCCTTTGGCCTTCAGAATTGCTTTAATTCTACGTGGCATTGGTTCAACAAGGTGCTGAAAGTGTGGGGGTCGTTGTAGTACGGTGAACTCATCGTCATGTTCAAGAAACCAGTTTGAAATGATTGGAGCCTCATGACGTGGTGCATTATCCTGCTGGAAGTAGCCATCAGAGGATGGGTGCATGGTGGACATGAAGGCATGGTCAGAAACAATGCTCAGGTAGAACCGTAGACGTGAGCAGAAGCGCTCGTTCTAAATTCTCGCCTGATGTGAACAGAGGAGGAGCGGACAGAGCATGAATGTCGTGAGCGATCCCCTTCGCGGCGCTACTCAGCTGGTGTGTTCGGGACTTCCGGGTACAAGATTTATAGACTTCTTCACAGGCCAGTCCCCCAGATCCAGCCACTTCCTAGAGCTGCATGAGAAGTGTCCTCTGCCAGGGAGTTTACCTACATGTGTGTGTGAGTGTGTGGTTAGGGGATGACCAGACAGACAGACAGACAGACAGACAGATGAGAGATAGATAGATAGATTGATGATAGATAGATAGATAGATAGATAGATGATAGATTGATAGATAGATAGATAGATGATAGATTGATAGATAGATAGATGATAGATAGATGATAGATAGATGATAGATAGATAGATAGATAGATTGATAGATAGATAGATAGATAGATAGATAGATAGATAGATAGATAGATAGATAGATAGATGATAGATAGATAGATAGATAGATAGATAGATAGATAGATAGATAGATAGATAGATAGATAGATAGATAGATAGATAGATGATAGATAGATGATAGATAGATAGATAGATTTCCAGTCTTTTAATCAGGCTTGTATCAACAAAATTTGCCCAATGTTAAAGTTTGTTCATTAGAACTTAAAGTGAAGAAGTTGTGGAGAATTAGATGATTTTCTGGTTTGAACAAGTTCCTCCGTCCCAATCTTCCCCAAGAAAACAAAACCTTGTGTTGAACAAGAGTCGGTTCCCTCCGTAAGTCAGATGAATGTGTAGAAATAAATAAATAAAATGTATGAAAGTGCACAAAAAGTCTCATTCAGTACTAGGAGGAGTCCTAGTTACGTCGTCATCGTCGTCTTCCTCCACTTATCCGGGTCGGGGTCGCTGGGGCAGCATCCCAACTAGGGAGCTCCAGACCGTCCTCTCCCCGGCCACCTCCACCAGCTCCTCCGGCAGGACCCCAAGGCGTTCCCGGACCAGATTGGAGATGTAACCTCTCCAACGTGTCCTGGGTCGACCCGGGGGCCTCCTGCCGGCAGGACATGCCCGAAACACCTCCCCAGGGAGGCGTCCAGGAGGCATCCTGACCAGATGCCCAAACCACCTCAACTGGCTCCTTTCCATCCGGAGGAGCAGCGGTTCTACTCCGAGTCCCTCCCGAATGTCCGAGCTCCTCACCCTATCTCTAAGGCTGAGCCCGGCCACCCTACGGAGGAAACTCATTTCGGCCGCTTGTATCCGCGATCTCGTTCTTTCGGTCATTACCCAAAGCTCATGACCATAGGTGAGGATTGGGACGTAGATCGACCGGTAAATCGAGAGCCTGGCTTTCTGGCTCAGCTCCCTCTTCACCACGACAGATCGGCTCAGCGTCCGCATCACTGCAGACGCCGAACCAATCCGCCTGTCGATCTCCCGATCCCTCCAACCCTCACTTGTGAACAAGACCCTGAGATACTTAAACTCCTCCACTTGAGGTAGGACCTCTCCCCCGACCCGGAGTTGGCAAGCCACCCTTTTCCGGTATTGTGAAGAGAAAGTTGAGACGCCAGACCCAACACTCTGGATGAGCTTAAGGCCGCTATCGAAGCATCCTGGGCCTCCATAACACCTCAGCAGTGCCACAGGCTGATCGCCTCCATGCCACGCCGCACTGAAGCAGTCATTTCTGCAAAAGGATTCCCGACCAAGTACTGAGTGCAGAACTGAACATGATTAATTGAAGGTTGACTTTTTTTGTATTAAAAACACTTTTCTTTTATTGGTCGGATGACATATGCTAATTATTTGAGATAGGAATGTTGGGTTTTCATGAGCTGTACGCCACAATCATCAATATTAGAAACAATAAAAGGCTTGAACTACTTCAGTTGTGTGTAATGAATCTAATATGTATGAAAGTCTAATGTTTATCAGTACATTACAGACAATAATGAACTTTATCACAATATGCTAATTCTATGAGAAGGACCTGTACAACTGTGTATGTGTTACCTACGTGTGCGCAGCTTTGCCATGAGTCAGCGTCTCCATAAGGTGTCTGCTCGTCGCTGGTTCACTCTGGACTCGGTGCAGCTGGAGTACGACGGCATCAAGGCCACTTTTAATGGCAGCAGGTCCATCTACGCCCCAGCTGAGTACTCGTACCGCTGTGAGTCTGTGACCAACTTCCGCTGGCCTCTGCTCATCCCACGTTCTTCCAAGGATCCGTCCAACCAGTGGAGGGTCTCGTTTGAGGACTTCCAGGTGCGTTCCTCTTTTAATCAGCAACTGAACATCTATGGTGTGTGTGTGTGTGCATATGGAGTTGTGTAAATGAATGATTCTGGTTGGTGTGACTCGTACAGATCCAAGGCTTTAACGTGACTGGGAGTGACTTCTCCTACGCCAGCGACTGCTCAGGCTTCTTCTCCCCGGGCATCTGGATGGGTCTGATGACCAGTCTCCTCCTGGTTCTGGTGCTCACGTATGGTCTACACATGATCATGCAGCTCTGTACCATGGACCGGTTCGATGACCCCAAAGGGCCGGCTATATCCGTGCCCCAGACGGAGTAACGGGCCGTGGGATGTCTCCTCCTGTAGTTTGCTGTTGTAGTATGTAGTGTCGTGTCACGTGCAGTCATGTTGATGTTTCAGGCTTTAGGTCAAAGGTGAACTTCTTAAATGTTACAGGCTGTTTTATTTCTAAACTTCACCAGACTGAAGTGAAGAAGCCTTCTGAGGTTTGTTAAATGATGGCGTGTGTGTGTGTGACACACTGATGAGAACTTAAGACTATTTATTGCTGTAATTAGTGCAACGTTATTTATTGTGCTTTTTGTAATCACAGCAACATCTAGCTGCTGTGCATTGTGTGTGTGTGTGTGTGTGTGTACAAATAATATTAAATATCAGATGGTGCGTTTGCGTCCGACTGAAACATTTATCCGTCTAAACCAGTAGAACGTTCATGGAGCATCTCTTCTCCAGCTCAGGAACAGCTTTTAGCGTTTTAATAGAGGAAATCGCTTTTTTAAACCTCACAGGTCCGAGTCTGTTCCAGGACTAGAACACGTTCTATTCACTGTAAAAAGCCACCTTTAGAAAGTACCCAGTAACATTGTGCTTAGATCATTTCTGCCCCACATACGTTTGTAAATAGTGCCTTATGTGGCAAGGTGGAGAAACGAGGGCCCGGGCGGGATTCGATACCCAGACTCCCGGGTGAGAGTCATGCTCACTAACCAGTCAGCCAAAGGGACATCCCCTTGGTTAAGTAGCCAGGGCGCATGATCAATCGGGACACTGTCAGGACGCTCACACTGTCACATCTCCCCCCTCTTTCCACAAGCACGTCCTCGTGCTCCCGCGCAGGCTGCCACAAACTTTACATCCATGTGTGACAGTGTGAGCGTCCTGTCACAATGTCCTGATTGATCATGCGCCCTGGCTACTTAACCAAGGGGATGTCCCTTTGGCTGACTGGTTAGAGCGTATGACTCTCGCCCGGGAGTCTGGGGATCGAATCTCGCCCGGGCCCTCGTTTCTCCACCCTGCCACACATGGACCTACTTGACAGTACTACATGGATCCTGCCAACAACGGCAAATGTGGCTGTGCCTGGTGAGGTTTTCCGGGCACGTCTAATTAGGAGACCCAAGGGAAGACCCAGGAGGGATGACACTGGAGGGACTATGTCTCGCAGCTCACCAGGGAACGCCTTGGGATTCCCCCGGAAGAGCTGGCTCAAGTAACTGGTGAGAGGGAAGTTCTGGCATCCCGGCTTAGGCCGCTGCCCCCGAGACTCCGGATAAGTGGCTGAAAATGGATCGACGGATCACGTCTGAAGCTTCAGCAACAAAACAAAACGCATTCTCCCAGAGAGGTGACTCTGGCTGCTTTGTTTAAAACATTTTTATTTGTGTTTTGCATGTGATCAGCTCCAAACCCATCAGTTTATTTTTAGACTCCGTGAGGAGGTCGTGCCATCCCAGACTCAGAACAGATAGTGTTCATCATTCCTCCTCCGATTCTGGATAACCTCAGCACATCACTGATGCATGTTTGTTCCTCTTGGGCCTGAGCAGCTGTAGAAGCTTCAAACATGAAGCTGAAACATCTCCGCTGGTTTCTGAAGAACCCGGGTCGGAACCTCTGAAGCCAAACTGTATTTACAAATGCTTAAACACACACACAGACACAGATGAATAACAAAAATCACTGGATTTCTGATAGAGACAACAAATAAAATCTAGTAAAAATAAAGTGGGCACGGTCAGATGCAGTTAAGGGGAGTTGGTGCTGGAAATATAAAAGCCAGTTAAAACTCCAGAAGCAGCAGCTGTCGTCAACCCTCACAAGTCTGAAGACTTTGTTTGTTTAAATCTGTTAAAAACACAACTAGGATCATTAGTGGTGAGCAGAGAGGCTGCTGAGGACCTGCCAGGAGAAGCAGATACGAGTCGTGTTTTCCCCTCATCAGCGTTCATGTTCGAGACCAGAGCCCTGATGAACCTCACACTGCAGAGCAGCACCGGTTCTGGAACAGCTGATCCACCACAGACGCGTCTGCCAGCGTGGAGATGTCGCCCAGATCCTTCTCGTTGCAGGCGATCTTACGGAGAACTCGACGCATAATTTTTCCTGCAAAGACCAAGTGAGGATAGTTAACGTTGTGTTTCTATCGTGTGATACTGGTACGTTAATCTCTCTCTATCTCTCTCTCTCTCTCACACACACACACACACACACACACACACACACACACACACACTCAGAGGAGCGGGCTCGGTTACCAGATCTGGTTTTGGGAAGTCCAGGTGCGTTCTGGATGTAGTCCGGTGTGGCGATGGCTCCAATCTTCTCTCTCACTGTGAGGGCACAACACACAACTCATGACATCACCTTCACCTCCAACATGACCCCACCCAGCACAAAGCGGGCTGGGGGGTTCTGGGTTGGTCCTACTGGGTCTGCATCTTAGTTTTAGTCTTCGTCAGCATTAGTCGACTAAATCTCTAAAAGGTTTTAGTCAACAAAGATTTTTGTTGTGAATTTTACAAAACAAACAAACAAAGTATTCTCTAACGAATGCGTTCAGGTCAGACGTGTGCTCTGAGCTGCTGGAGTGAGTTTCATACCAACATCTTTTATTTTATATGGAAACAGGATTTATAGTAAACAGTTAAAATTTCACACACTGGGGCTTTAACAGGATGGAGTCTTGGGGAGCGTACAGAGCATTCTACACAATATTTGTACAGAAATAAAGAAATGTCGCCTGGATCTCTGGGACTTGGAGCTCCCCTCCATCTCCTACACATCTTTGGGGAGCAGATCTGTGGTCCCTCACACTCTATTGGACGCTCCTATAGAGAAACCTTACATAAGCAAGCACGTGTACACACACAGGTGCTCACACGGTGCTCTCATAAGTATGGACTTGGGCACGTTCAACACATGTCTTACGGCTGTCGTTGGCACTAAATGCACTGTGATTTATTATTGTGTGATTGTTCAGTTAAACAATGTTGATTTTATATTTCTTCATCAAGTTGACGCAGTGATAGCTTGATCTTGTTGTATTGTTGTTGTGTCCCTTTTTTTTCCTGCTCTTTCTCTTTCTGCAGGTCTAGAAGCAGACTCTTGTTCATTATTGTTTATTTTTGTGGAACCCCCCCACCTTTTGTCTCTTCCTTTCTCTTTCACCTCTGTTTCCGTGTCTGGTCGGAATTACAAAGCATCCAACAACAATAACAATAAAGTTTTAAGAATCAGGCGTGACATTAAAGCAGACGCTTTGATGCTCCACCTGAGAGTAAATCTGTAAGGCTTGTTACCAGCATTCAGACATCAACTCCGTTTGCTTCACAGCCAGACAGGACACGGTAAAAAAAGAAATAAAGAAATGTGTTTGCTTCATTTATGACTTGAGTTATCAGACCTCCATCTTGGTGTCCGTCATGTTTCTCCACAGACTGCAGCGCTGTGAGTTTTCACAGAATGAATCTAAAAACCCAGTTCTGCTCATAAACATTTAGATGGGCTTAAACTGTGACGCTGTTGGGTTAAAAAGCAGGAATGTGACCCAACTTTAGGAACCAGAGAGCTGAGACAATAATCCTGACTTAAAACCGTAAACCTGTTCAGATCCAACCTGTTAAAAACATCATTTCTTTCATTTATCTGCCCAAAAGCTCGACTTTCTCTGGAAGCACCGGATAAGAAACGTGTTAATATTACAGATAAGTTTGAAAGTAGCGATGTCTTCGCTCGAGTAGCGTCTATGAGCGGCTGCTCACGGCAGCGAAGCGCTGAGCCGAGCTGAACCCAATCCACATCAGAAACCCACGTAAATAGAGTGGTTAGTGCCCTCTGATGTGGGCGGAGCCAGCTCCACTCAGCTGCTGAGGCTGGGCTGTGAACTTTAACTTCAGAGAGACCGGCAGAAATGTGCATTTTGAGCGGAGTTTACATCTCGCCTGGGCTCGTCAACGAAAACTCCTGTTGGTCTCGTCATGTTTGAGTCACCAAAGAGCTACTTTTAGCTAGTCGGCGTCTCGTTTTTGTTATTAAAAAAAGGGGCGTCAATAAAATCGATTGGTCATTGTTTT